GATGAACTAAGAGCATTGTGCTAGTTAGGGTTAGACAGTTACAAAAGGACATACGTCGTGGCTCTGCTTACATCAGGTGCGTAGAATAGTCAAAACCATTGAGATAAAAAGAGTAAAGGGACAGGGAGTGAGGGTTGCTGTTTAATAGTTTCAGTTTTGCAAGGTGAAAAAATTGCAGATATGGATACCGATGAAAGCAATGCAGTATGGGGCTAGAGAAATGCAGCCGTTAAGACCACTATTTCAGAGGCTCAGTTCTCAGCACCTGCCTTGGGTACTTCACAGCTGCCTGCAATTCTAGCTCCACAGGGACCTGATACCTCTGGCCTCGGAGGGTAGATCTACACGAGGGTACCCATGTGCGTGCACACTATTTAAAATAAACTTTTTATAAGAAAAACAACCATGCAAATGTTTATTAACATTGAACTGTACACTACATGATGCTCCACAACTTTATTTACATTTTCAGTGCTGGAGATTGTCCCTAGTGCTTGTGTATGCTAAGCATAAGTTTTCCACTGAGCAACACCCCTAATCTCTGTACCAGCTTTTGGTGGGAGAGTAGCTCTCCTGTAGACCAGGCTAGCCCCAGACTTCCTATGTAATCAAGGATGACTTTGAACTGCTGGTCTTCAACTGCTAGAATGCTGGGATTATAGGCGTGTACCATCATACTAGGTGTATGTGGTACTGGGTATGAATCTCATGGTTTTATTGATGCTGCCACTAGGCAGGCACTCTGCCAGCTGAACTACACCTCCAGCCATCTTTACCACAGTTTTAAAATAATAAAACCTCCAAAAGCCAAAAAATGAATGTAAACTAACTTTGTTCCTCTGTTGGCAGCTAGAACTGTTTTCCCTTCTTAAAAATAACTACATTTTAAATGGTTGTGAAAGTACCTGTATAATGGCCTTCGATATTTACTATCTATCTGACTCTTAAAGTCTTATTGTTCTCTGTTCTATATTGACATTTTAATGATTTAGCTCTGCTGTTAACCAGTTATATATCCCAGAAACAAGGCACTTAAGTGTTCTGACCCTTGTTTTCCTAGGTTTAGAAAATGTAATACTTATCCTGTCTCTTCAGAAGAATTGTGTAAGTGGCCAGCAGATCGGAAACAAACAAATGAAACATGAGTCTCGTGTTTGTTTTACTTCATGGAGATTGAACATTGGCCTTATTTACTTTGTTGTTAGCAAGTGTATTGCTGACCAACTTCCTGTTCTTAGCTAGACAGTTGCTCAGTCTAAATCAGGGGGCCCTTAGTTTTTTATTGCTGTTCTGTTTGGTTTTTTAGCAGTCAAAGTTTTAAAATTAGAGCTTGGAGAGCTGTGTTGGTGTATGGCCTTAGCATCTGGGAGCCATGGGTTGGCAGATGTGAGGTTGAGGCAGTCTGCTCTACATAGTGAGCTCTCCCCCTCAAGAAGGAAGAAAGAAACAACTGGGCTGGCTGTAATAAAGACTGCTCTTATACTAGGGTTGGGTGTGTCGTTCATAAATGTTGCCTATGTTTGCTGTCTTCTTAGGTTTTCTTTCCCCCCTACTTTTAAAGAATGACTGTTAATTGGTTTGAACTGAGCTTTTGTTTTTGTTAGAAAATGAATGCTTTCTGGGGAATCAGTTATTTTTAAGACACTTTTTAAAGATTTATTTATGTGTACAGTGTTCTGCCTGCAGCCATAAGAGGGCACCAGATCCCAGATGGTTGCTAGGAATTGAACTCAGGACCTCGGAAAGAGCAGCCAGTGCTCTTAACCACTGAGCCACCTCTCCAGCCCCATATTTTTTTTAAGACACACTTAATGTGCACTCTGGTGTGCAAAGATCTTAAAGCCTTATAGATCCCATTGAAATTTTGTAATCCCTAATACAGAAGCTAGAGAACATTCCCAGGGAAGATTATTTTGAATTTCTTGCACAAGGACCAAACGGTGTACTTAGAGCACAAGGTCAGTTGGCAGAAATGATTTGCAGCAGCTCTTCCAGACTGGCGGCTGGCTGTGCGTGTGCTACACCCCAGCGCTAAGTTAATAGACAGCCTTGAGGGTGTGGTTGGGAGACAGTTTGTACAATTGTGAATGTTTTCTCATATGAAGTATTACTTTCTACAACCTAGCCTCTCATTTCTACTAACTGTGGCAGTAGCACCTTGCCCTTTCCTTTGTCTTGATCCAGTGGGGTTAGATACCTTTGTGTGTGTGTGTGTGTGTGTGTGTGTGTGTGTGTGTGTGTGTGTGTGTGTGTGTGTGTGTGTGTTGTTTCCATTGTATGATTTTGTTCTAATAAAAGTTAATGTCCATCTCTACAGTTTTTTCTTGACTTACCAGTCAGAGGCACAAGATTGGTCCTTATTAAACTAAGGATTAAGTTTATAAGTATGTCATTTTCCAAATTTTAGTTTCTAAGCCACTGAATGGTTCTAAGTTCAACGTCAGTGTTACAGTTCAAATACAGCAAGATGGCAGAGACAGGAACTTAGAAATGCCTCCCGTTTACTTGAAAATTTTACTGTTGTGATTGGGTGTTGTGCCTGCATGTGGGCATATGAACCATGTGTCCTTGATGCCTGAGAAGGTTGTGAGCCACCACCATGTGTGTGCTAGGAATTGAACCCCGGTCCTGGGGAAGAGCAGTCATTGCTCTTAATAAGCCTTCTTTCCAGTCCCCCTTTTACTTTGATTTTTGTGGGACATTGTCTTGTCTTTGATCTCTCCCACACATTTGACAGCTGCTTGTCTGCACTTTCTCTTTAAGAGACAATTAAGGCATTTCACAGTGGAGGCCTAAGAACCTTAGTAGGTCAGCTATCACAAGCCTTCAGACCAGAGACTCTGGAGGGGAGTAGCCCTTATCAGCTGAAGCCATCTGGTAGGCTTCATTGCAGACGGGTTAGTTCTTCTGTCCTCCCAGAACTAAACTGTCACTGAGACTATACAGTTGACTGAAAACCAAATTCAAGTGTCAGGCTTGGTGGCAGATGCCTTTACCACTGAGCCATCTCCCAGGGCCCCTCACCTTTGTATTTTTCAGACATGACTCAGACACCTGTGTAAGCTCCCTAAAATTTGAGATACCTGGTTATCTGTGGAGCTGCAAGACCGTGCCTTGGTCCCTTTAAGTTTCTTTGGGAAACCCTATTCTGGTGGAGTTTGTTTTCTTTACTATGTAAAAGTTACTAGGCTTTATAATCTTTTGGGTCACTTCCTACTTTAAGAAACTTGTGTCACTTCCTCTTAATAGATTTGAGGGTTATTTTTTAAACAACTGGAGCTTTATTTCTGCATTTCAGACTAAACGCTTATTGACCCTTTCTCCACATGAGCACTTTAGTTGACAAGTACAGATGGCTCAAAGTCTAACCCTGAATTCTTAACTAGTCTGTTATGCTCAGTGCTCAGTTGTTGTGTGAGGTTAACACATCAGTGCAGTGTGTGTGGGGTGAGCGTGCTGGTGTTGCACCACTGTGAACTCAACAGCTTGGTTACTTTTATCACCGCTACTTGGGTCCTCAAATATTTGAAGGACCTGTCCAGAGTCCAAATGCTAGCAATACTGTTTCCACATAGGATGCGTACCTTGTTTACAGCCTTAGCTCCATTGGTGTGGTGCTAGTGAAAGATGTATTGTGTGTATCTCCTGAATTTAGTAATAGTTTAACACTTTCCTCCTGCTTGGGGTAGAGTATTTAAAAGTATTTTCCCATAATACTTTTCTATTTTACTGTGCTTTTAGGCCACTTTTATTACATTTTCCTACCCTTTGATAGTAGGACATGAAATATGTAATTCTGTTTGTTCTACCTTCTCTCCCCAGGTGGCCTTCGAGGAGTGGCACGAGGTGGCCTGGCAGGGCTGACACTCACCAGTCTCTATGCACTGTATAACAACTGGGAGCACGTGAAAGGCTCCCTGCTCCCACAGTCACTCTGAAGGAGGACTTTGCCACCTCAGGAATGGGGGACATTTCACAGTCAGCCAGACTGGTTAATAAGTCAGTCTGGAGTTGCTTTCTCTCTTGTACCTACAATTACTTTGAACAATTGGAGACTCTGATTTGCTGTTTTGAAGATCATGGATGGTTAGCCTGGACTGCACTGCTTGCCCTTAATGAGCAGAAGCCAAATCTTTGGTGACTCACTGAGTATATGTTCTCTTCTCCTTTGGAGATGGTCTTGCACCTGTTTTTTCTCCTTCCCCCAAACTGGAAAACCACTTACTCTCCAAATTCAGGCCATACTTATTTTCAACACTTTTATCACCATATTTATCAAAACTAATATTGCCCGGTATTCCAAATAAAGGGTGAAAATAGAACCAAAGTCATAATTCCAGCATAAAATATGGTATCTCCATTTAATAACATCTGCATGGGAAGGGAGATGGTTATCAGGTAAATCATTTGCTTTGCAAGTATGGAGACCTGACTTTAGATCCCAGTGCCCAACATGCCAACAGGTGTGGTGCCCACCTACAATCCAGTGCTCAGAGGCAGAGACAGGATCCTTGGAGCAAGCTGACTAGGTTCAAGTGAGATGTTTTATTTCCAGTATGTAAGAGGAATAACTGGGAAAGACACGACTGTCAACCTCTGGCACACACACATAGATAACTGAGTATAGAGTGACAGCCTTTTTTCCTGCCAGAATTGGGCCAAAGCAATGTCTTTGTGTTCACGGTGAAATGAAGATTTTCCTCCAACACAGCTGGTGTTAAATAGCTTCAAGATATTTTCCAAGTTAATCATTAAAGTAGTATGCTAGAACAGAACCCTCTGTCCCAACAGTTGTTAGAAGCCTGGGAAAACTAAAGGGGGAAAGTCATAATCACAGAACTACACTGCAAGTTACATAACCTGAGAAATACTAAGCAATCTCTGGCTATATGGTTGAGAAAAATACACTTGGACATTTATGCATATGTGTTTGCTTTTAAAGAACAATACATGTTTTTTAGGAAGGCTGAAAGTGGTAAGATTCATAAACTACACACTCCTTGTATTTTTACATGTTTATTGCACCTTTAACCAAACATTAACATGTTGAGCTTTATAGATAACACAAACAACTGTGATGTGGCCATTATGCTTTTAATAGAGATATAAAACTTAGCAATGCAAAAGAATGTTTAATATACCATTAGCATAGTGATTAACTTAAATTATGTTTTAATAATGTAAAATACAGTGTGTTAGACCTCAAAAGAAAAATCACAAAGTTCCCTGCAACCTAAGATGTTGGGAAGGCTCCTTAAATTGCTTTTTCTCACCAGCTTTGTAATACTCAGTGGCATCTGGGGGACATAGGGAAATATGAGGCTCTTTTCAGCTGTAATTCAGTTTAGCAAAGCTGTATGTGATGTCACTATGGGACCATAAAATTTCTCACAAGTACTTCCAATAGCATAGGCAGCTCAGAGGCTTCAGTTCAGAGCACAGAAACCAGCTGAGTATTCTGGAGAACTGTAGAACACAAATCCTACTACTCTCCTACAGAGAAACTTTCTAAAATGTAGGCGAAACTTAAGGGTGTCATTCTAGGAAGTTTCAATAAACACTCCAAGGCACAAGTGTTGAGCACAGCCTGTTAATCAAGATGTCACTGCACCATACTTTTGGAGGTTCCGGATGCTGTGCTTGAAGTGACAGGACATTGACTTTATCCCTAGTTAAGAGCACCAGGTGTCAAGCTCAGCTTCCATTTACACAGGATGCACCTATAATAAACCCTTAGGGTGATGAGTGGTCAAGTACTACGTTCCTAACACATCTTGCCTTTCTGTTTTAATTGGCCTGGGGCTCTTTAAAGACAAAGTCTGCAGGACTTTGGGGGTTCTGATTGCCCTAAAAGTGGTCTTGAAGCAAGAGAGTCCTTTTCGGAGAGCTCACTGGATACTTAGAAAGGAATGAAGGCAACAATTGCAGTAGGTTTAATTCCTTTCGAATGAGAAATGTTAGAAATGACATGTAGGCTAAATTTTTGATATCAAAATTGCAACGTAACTAATAGACATTTAGGGGAAAATATATTGGCAAGGTTAATTTGTGTGAAATACTCTATATATCAACTAAACAGAAAAATTTCAAACCACCAGAAGCTCATAGCAAGAGAAACAGCTAGAAGACAAAGTTGGGAAGTTTACTAGTTTTAGAACACATTAACACACTAGATATAGAAATATTTCACTTTTAAAACTAGTGTTTGCCATGGAGTCACTAAAGGCCAGTGTACCAAGATGCTGTTTCTAGTATAGGAGTTGGTTAAGTTAGTGCTTCTGTAAGAAGGAAATGTAGCATCAAGCCTCTTTCACACACTAACTCATAATTTGATGATTTCTGTTTACAGTTCAAAACTGAGCAGGAGAGGAATTAAGCTGACTAGTCAGGCCATAGAATAAACAATGGTTTGGCAAGTCACAGTCACTCAGCTCAAGGGTGTGCAGTCTGCAGGAAAGCTGCTCAATTCTAGTAGTAGATTGCTTCACATCTGTTAAAAAAAAAAAAAAAAACCACAGAATTTCAGTTCACTGCAGACTTTGAAATGGACTCGGGTCTTAAGATACAATCCATGGGGGATAAGAAAATTGCGGACAGTTAACAGATTGAAAATGTCACGTAAGTATGATAAAGCTCAAGTGTAACATTTTAATAGTTTTAGTTTATTAGTGATTATTCTGTGTGTTTGATGTACATGGGGGCATGTGTGCTGTAGTGTGGATATGGGAGTCAAAGGGCAGTTTACGGAGTCAGGTCTAACTTGACATAGGTTGCAGGGATTGAACTCAGGTTGTCAGGCTCTTTTCCTTTCTAGTACACAATACCTTAAATTTTCAACGTACTTGTAGTTGTGCACAAGTGAACAGGAACATGGTTCAGTGCGGGAGAGCACAGGTTGGTGGAGAGAGGAAACATTTATGAGCAGCTGTGACAGCGCTGGTGCATGTACCCACCTGCAGAGGAGTTCTATACAGCCATTTGTCTTTATCAACTTTAAGCTGCATACAGGCAAAGAGATCACAAACCGCCGGGAGGCCGCGGAAGTTACGATCTTCTTGCAGAGGTGAATTAAGAAATGCTTCCTGCAAGAAGACAACAAAGATGACTACTGGGAGGGAGGCTTGAGAGTAAACTCCCAGCAAATGGTAAAGAACATAAGCATTCTTGTCAGCTACAAGACAGGCTGGACTTCCTTTACTGCAGCATGGAGGCTAAGGGCCAGGGAAATTCACAAGTAATACAGGGGTATAAATCGTCCATCCTGTTTATGACTTGAAAAAATTACTACCTCAGCCAAATTTAGCATGAATTCAAAGGGGGCAAATGTTGATGTCTGCTCACCTGGGCCTTCTTCCGAAGTAGCCACTTATCTTCTCCAGAGGTGAGCTGGCTGAGGTTTCCCACTTTCTTTCCCGGTAAGACCCAGTCAGCAGTATTAAAAGGACACCAGGAAGTGGCCATAGGGGCCTTAAGCATTTCTTTGCCAGCTCTGTCTTCAGCACTAGGCACTTCCTTAGGGCCTCCTCCTCTGCATGTGGGCCCCATAAGCCACTCTGACAGGGAACTGTTCCTTATGACTTGGAAGGAGTCAGCAATTTTAGCAGGAGCCATGGCCTTGTGTGCCTTAGCTTGTTCTGTGAGCTCGTTTCTGGAAGGGCAGAGCCACAGACTCAGGGACTCGCTGTGTTTCTCAGGCTCAGGTTTGGGCTCCACAGGCATTCCGTTCTTGTCCTTTCCTTCTCTCTTCAGAAGCCATTTATACACCGCTTCCTTCTCACAGCTGTCGTCACACACACAGTCTGCAAAGCTCGCGCAGGGCTCATTGGCTTTGCACACTTCCTCGACTTTACATGGGTCCTGACGGCTCTGGACAAGCCAGCCCTCGGTGCTCACGCTGGGGGCTGACAGGGGCTTTTTGGCCTCCAAGTGGTCATTCAGGCATTTCAGATTGCCTAGGTTCTCAATCTCCACACCTCTGGGCTGGTTACCCTGACAGTTGGTACAGGAATCAGGCTTGACAAGCCAATCGTTCACATGGTAGGGCTCCTTGAATACCTGGAATAAGAGTTTAAACTTCTCACTGGTTTCACAGCTGCCATTCTCGGCCTTCTCCAGTGCACAGGGCTCTTGGGGAGTCACCAGCCAATCTGACAGGTCTAGCTCATCTTGATCAACTTGCTCCACATCTTCGACCTTTTCCACTTCAGCAGAGAAAGAGCTGGTGCTACCATGGCTGTTACACTTTGAGGAACTTGGTTTCCCAGGAACGGCTTGTTGACGGCTGCTGAGGAGCCAGTTTTCTAAGCCCTTTATATTGCCCCAGGCATTGCTGAAGAAACTGCAAGCTCTGGCAGAAGTCTATACAAGAAGTAACCAAAATTAATGTTTAACTTGTCAGAAGAAATACTAAAATATACATTTACATGAAAATTCCATTTTCTGTAATCTTCTACAAGTAGGAAATGGAAACTAAAAGTATATGTAGTGTTTTAGACTTTAGAAAAGGAAATAGTTTTCATATAATGCCAGTATTATAGGTCAGACAAATTTGAAGTCTGACAAGCATAAAAATATTCAACTGCTTCAAAAGCAAAATTGATACTCTGTGAAAATCAATGAAACAAACAAACTTGTAAACTACTACCACTAAGCCGGGCGCTTGTGGTGCAGGCCTTAAATCCCAGCACTAGGGAGGCAGAGGCAGGTGGATCTCCGTGTTTGAGACCAGCCTGGTCTACAGAGTGAGTTCCAGGACAGGCTCTGAAGCTACAGAGAAACCCTGTCTCTGAAAAAAAAGAAAAAGGAAACCAAAACAAAACCCCAACTACCACTATTGGAGAGGTTTAGTGGTTGTGGCAATTAGAATGAGCATGACCCCATAGGCTCATATATTTGAATGTTTGGTTTCCAGGTAATGGGCTGTTTAGGAACAAGCAGGAAGGAGGTGTGGGGTTGTTGGATGAGGTGTATTCACTAGGTGTGGACACTGAAGGCCCAGTGTCTGCCTGTCTACTCCAACTTAGATAAGATGTGAGCTCTCAGCTACTGCTCCAGCACCAAGGCTGCCTGCCTGCCGCCATACTCCTTGCCATGATGGGTCATGGACTCACCCTCTTTCTTCTAGAAGTTGCCTTGGACCTGGTGTCTCTTCACAGAATATAGAAAAAGTAACTAAGACAGTAGCGAATACTCCACTGATAAAGAATATCAACTTTTGCACAATGCAGCAAAAGTCAAAAGGGTACATAAGCAGAATAGTAACTTAGGAATCCAGTTTATAGGAATTTATTCATAAAGAATTAACTAATTCCTAAAGTATATGGGGCAGAATCTTAAGTTCCAGCCAACTGATGAACTGTATATGATCAAATACATTTATATTTACCAAAACATATTTATGGAATGATTTTTATTTACATGTACATATAGAAAATGCTGTAAACAAAAATGTCTTACTGTCGGGCTGGAGAGATTGCACAGCAGTTAGAACACTGACTATCCTTCCAGAGGACCCAGGTTCAATTCCCAGCACTCACATAGCGCTCACAGCTATCTGTAACTCCTGTTCCAGGGGAATCTGACACCCTCACACATGCATGCAAAATACCAATGCACAAAATAAAAATAAATGTTTAAAAATGTCTTAATGTCACTTCACTAGGGGTTGCAGACATGTATTTTGAAAGTTTTTTTCCTAAACTTCCTACCTAGAGTGAAGCGATTTCACTCTTGTAATTAAAGATTAAAAACATGCCCACCTAGATAATACTAAAAAGCAAAAACTACTGTTAACCCAATCTACTTCACAAACAATAAGGCAGCCACACACCTGACTACTCTCCAAGGTCCGTTTCGGGGTGAGCCAGTCCTGTGGGTTGGTACTGGGCACATAGGGAGCCTGGTGACCAACGGCAGGTTTGCTCACAAGAAGCCATTCGCTGAGAGAAACAGCTGTGCTGCTGGACGCTGACTTCTACAAGCCGCAAGACAAGAACAAGAAAAACTGATGCTTAACAAGGCAGTATGAAACACATCTGAATTAAAGACACCCAAGGAACCAATATCAGTAACAATGTTAATAATTTCCATTGAACTAATTATTTTTCTCATTACATCTATAAAACAACTAATTTTATTGGACATCTGGTGCTTTGAGAGGCGTTCAAGTGGATTTTTTTTTTTTTACAAATAAAGAGTAGCAAATAAAAAATGGTTATCGAGACACAAGAGAATTCATAAAGCAATGACTTGATTACTAAAAACAAAACTGCAGTTTACCTGCTCTGGCATCTGGATATAGCCTCTTTTCTCTAGGAAGGGCCCAATGTTTGAAGAGTTAGTATGAGCCATCAGGTGCTCAGGAATTTGCTATCAAAAAGAAGAGAATCATGTTGTTATACTTTTCTACCAAAATAAAAGTGATCATATAATCCTGAAATTTCCAAACCATTGAGCAAAGCACCCTATTTTCACTGAAGTACTACTCACTGTAAATCCAATGGGCTATAAAGTAGTCATCAGTCTGAGTTATCTACGTCATCATAAGAAATCTTCCCTATACTTGGCAGTAGTGTGATTTAAACAAGACCCAAATGATACCTAACCATTCAAATCATAAAACTTATTTTTTAATGTGTCAGAATATTTTTAAAGACAGAGGACGAGCCCTAAGTATTCCCAGTGAATCAGTAACTATCCCCAAACTGCCAACCTACAGTTATGACTTAATCAGTACATTACTAAAGGTCACTGCCTCTAGCAAGCCACCATCCCAGAGGCTATCGACTTGAAAAGTGCCCTTTGAAATAGATGAAAAGAACATTTCTTACAATTGTCTTAAGGGATCCAAATGTGGTGATGGTCTGGCGCAGAGCAGATGTGTCTGCTTCAAAGAGTAGGACAGTCGAATCTTCAGGCTTAAGGGCCAAACTGTTCAGTCTATGAAAGTGATAAAATTTAGTATTTTCTGAGGAACCAGTATTAGCAAGTATAACATTAAATACAAAGAATATCTGACTTTCTTTTTATGCCTACAAGAGTAGATCAAAGTTAAAACAAGTAAAAGGTCCTTTACCTCTCCAGGCACAGAGAGACTTGATTGGCGAGATCTTTGTGCTGGGTGTACTCCAGCTGATGAATAAGACAACTGAACTGGCCCATTAGCTACAAGAAACATGAAACCGTCTGTTCACAATATTAAAGTATCCAAACTAATAACGTTTTAGACTAAACTATACTCAACTCCGATTAGCCATGTCGTCACCTTACCCAGTAAAGCTGCTGGGCCTGTTGCTGCAGGGTCTCCTCTTTGAGTTGGTAGATGAGATCTACCTGTTCATTGAGCCACACCTCACGACTCCGAAGGCATTCTAGATGGCGACTTATGCAACTGTGGATCTGAGCTTTTACCTGGGAAATGCATGGTGGTATAAACTAGTGTCATAAGCCAAGGAATGACAATTTCCATAAAATACTAATGCTCTTAAACTTTTCAACATATACTCAAAAATCTGCCTACAATTCAGCAATCTCATGAGGTCTATGAATCCTAGTTAAAGAATCCAAGGCTAAAAGGTGTACCTAACCCTAAAATCCTCCTTCACTCCTCCTTTTCAGAAGATCAGGGTTCCTTTGCATATCAGCAAGAAAAAGAAAAAGAAATTCCAGGGCTACTCACCCCCTCAACTTTCCTGACAACTCTAAGCTTTACAAGTGGTACACACCTTTAATCCCAGCATTGCGATCCACTGAGGTGGATCTCTGTAAGTTTCAAGCCAGCCTGGTTTACAGAGTGAGTTCCAGTTCAGCCAAGGCTACACAGAGAAACTCTGTCTCAGAACAACCCCCTCCACAAAAAAAGGGGAGGGGGGATGTGAGCTAGTCTGTGACCTTTTTCCCACCTTCATGGAATAAGCAGTGCATTAAGTCAGCTTAATACAGGTATGAGCCATCTCCCAGGCGGTGGTGGCCCACGCCTTTAATCCCAGCACTCGGGAGGCAGAGGCAGGCGGATCTTTGTGAGTTTGAGGCCGGGCTGGACCAACAGCCTCCAAAGTAATACAGAGAAACCCTGTCTCGTAAAAACCACAAAAAAAAAAAAAAAAGCAAGGGGACCATTAGGGTGGACAGTATAGGTAGACTATAAAGAATGTGTGCAATGATTCACATTTTGTCTATATACAAACATTTTGAGGGGAAAAAATTCAAAACAGCTAAAAATCATTCATGGGCATTCACATATATCATAAAAGTTCCCCTTTGGAAAAAGTTCTCAAGTGATATACTACTTGAAGCACTCACCAGCAGAATGCTAAAGGAACTAACAAATTTCATTCTGACTTGCAGAATGACACTCTAATTTAGAAACTATACCACTTAAAGCATGTTACCAACAAGTTAAATTAAATGGGGACATAACGAAGTGCCATTTTTCATATATCAAAAAGGTGCAGCTATGCCAGGCATCAGCACACGCCTTGAATCCCAGCATGAGAGAGGCACGCAGATCTCTGAGTTCCTGGCCAGTGTGATCTACACAGTGAGTTCTGGGACAGTCAGATCTATGTAGAGAGACCCTGTCTTAAAAACAAAAACAACAAAAAGAAGGTAGCTAAGCAGAAGCAGAATACTGCTCACTCTCTTTGTTACTTTGCGTGACTGGGTACAAAAACCACACAAAGAAGCAACCAAAACACAAGCCATGCAAATGGCAAATCTCAGAACGGAATCTCCGATTCTTCCAGCATCCGACACTTCCCTGTGGGATCAGAAGCTCCATGCCAGACAGAGGATTAAGCAGGGTTAAGCACATGCAGATACAGAATCAAACTCTCTGGGTAGCCCAGAGTAAGTCCTTAGAAGGTAAGTGCTCTAAGGAGCCTTGTGCTACAGCCAGACCAAGGACAAGGACAGCACACAGCATACCTCTCGTAAGTTATCTTTAATTTGCTGCTCAGCCCGGAGCACTCCACCAATAGCAAGCTCCAGCTCTCTCCGGGCATCACTGCACCTCAAAAGTGTTTCTCTGTTACTGTAGCAGCCACTCTGCTCCAGGGAAGGATTCATTCTGCCTACTGTTCCTTTAAAAGAAAGAAAGAAATCCAATAGTGCCATAATTACAGCCCCAAAGCACTTTTCAATTGTGGCTCAGATGGTTTCTCCACCACTCTCGTTACTAACAGCTTTGGTGATTTCCAACACATGTATTCAATGCATACATATTGCCTCCCTTCCCTACCTGACCTGTTTCTGCTTGAAAATTTTAGCAGGGTGGTACATGACTTTAATCCCAACACTGGAGACAAAGGCAGACAGATCTGAGTTCGAGGCCAGCCTGGTCCACAGATCCCCAGGAGAGTCAGAGCTACAAAGAGAAACCCTGCCTCAAGAAGGGGGGGAGTTTCTATGATTACTTTGGGGGACACTTTACATGTGAACATATATATCTGAGGAAATACACCAATGGTCCTGAATTAACAGGATACGTGCTGGTCAAAGTGTTAAAAGAACATTAAGCCACTTTTTGTAATCAGGGGTTGTAATCCCAGCACTGGGTAGGGGAGGGACTCATGACAAACAGGGATACACAGTGCTAGTTTTGAGATCCTGTCTCAAAAGACAACAAAATAAAAGCAAAACACCAATCATCAATAGGACTCTGGACTACAGATGTAGAATTAAGTCTCCATGTGTAATTCCCTGGGTTTGCTCCCTGCAACTGCAAAACAATAATAAATGACAAAAAAAAAAATGAACTTGACATATCAAAGAGGATATAAAGCTAATTATTCTAAAGGTTCAAATTCTGTCATGCATGTTTGTTTGTTTTGGTGATAAAGTTAAGTGCATAAAAATATATTTGACAGTGAAAAGTATAAAATCCCATGTGATTCTCCACTGTTTCAGAACTGCTTTTGAAACTGTTCTCGTTAAAGTTGGTGTGTCATTTTGTATATTTGCAATTTTTATTATAAAATTTGTAAAGCTATTTTTGAAAGAATGAAAATTTCTACTCATAGCATACATGAACTTATTACTCTGTAAGATTTCGACTGAGATGTAAAAAATCAGCTGCTGACAAATAGTTTGATAGAGTTTAGTTAAAATACTGCTCAGAGCTGCGTTTGTCTGAATTGGTTAAGGGTATTTTGAGGGAGTGGTTTAAAAAATATTATCATAGGAACTAGAGAGATTGTTCAATAGTTAAGATTGCTTGTTCCTCTTTCAGAGGGACCAGAGTTCAATTCCCAGCACCCACCTCAGGTGGCTGACAACCACCTGTAACTACAGCTCCAGGAGCTCCACCTTCTTCCAGGCTCCCTGGATACCACATAACCAGACAGACAGGCCCACAAAAGGGCCTTTTTAAAAATAGTATTATAGGGAGCTAGAACAATGGCTCAGCAGTTAAGAGCACTGGCTGCTTTTTCCAGAGGCCCTGGGTTCAATTCCACATGGCAGCTCACAACTGTCTGTAACTCCAGTTCCAGGGGACAGGGCACACTCACACAGAGGACATACATGGAAGCAAAACATCAATGCACACAAAATAAAAATAAACCCTTAAAAAATAATTCCATGCAATTTAGATATAAAAGGGGTTTTTACGAAAGGATTCAGTGTGGGTTCTCTAACAGGATCCGGAGAGAAGCTCCAAGGGAGGAAAGCAAATGACTGAGGAGAGGAACACTCGGGGTCAGCAGAGCAACCAGGTGGACTTGACGAAGTGCACTGCAAGAACAATCTGGTGTTTAACCTGGAGAGACTTAGAACTGACGTATGGCTTATAGACACTTAGGAAAAGCAAGTGCAGGGATGGGTAGCTCCAAAGGCAGAGTGCTTGCTCAGTGTGCATGGAGGCCTTGGTTTGATGGTGTGGTGGGACGTGCCTGTAACCCTAGGACTCCTGAGAGGGAGGCAGGAAGACTAGAAATTCAAGGTCATCTGATTAGCCATCCTCAGCTACACAGTAACAAAAGCCAGTTGATAGTCAGGAGCCCTGAAGAGGCCAACTCACAGACATCCTCCTGCCTCTGCCTCCCGAGTGCTGGGATTAAAGGCATGCACCACCAACGCCCGGCCTTTTTCTTTTTTAAATTCTCTTCCAGCTATCCTCACCATTCAAGTATAAGCGAATTCTATTTGCCTTAGTAGGTTTAAAGCTATGTAGAAATAAGTCTTGGGATCTGGGAGGCAGAGGCAGGAGGATGTCTGTGAGTTCAAAACCAACCTGGTCTACAAGAGGGAGTTCCAGGACAGCCTCGAAAGCCAGAGAAACCCTGTCTCAAAAAAAAAAAAACAAAAACAAAAACAAAAACAAAAAAAAGGGGGGGGAAGAAAAACAATAAAAAAGAAAAAGATGGAGACCTTGTTGAAAGCAAATTCTGAGTTGGTACTGTACTGGGTATACGGGAGATTTAATTTAGATGTTATCTAGATGTATTTGTCACAAGGCTACTCTGTCCCATGATTAGGTTAAAACTTATTTCTGAGTAATGTTCTATGGAGACATTTAGAAAAGGGAAGGAGGCCTCAAGGCCATGGAGAGGGGGAAAACATCTCTACAAAGGAAGGCTGTTTGGCCTAGATAAGCAACTCTCTGGGAGGACACGATTACTACTCTCCAATACTTGGAAGACCTGTCTAGTAGAATTAGACATTTTCAAATAGTCCCAAAGAAGGGAATGGCTAAACAGACTGCCTAACTAACAGTCCTGAAGGTGACAGCTTCAGAGAGGCCTGCTTTGGACAGAACAGCAGCAGCACCTGCTCAGTGAAGTCACAATGGCTGCCTGCCCATTTGAGGCAAAGAGGCATTTTGGCCTAGCCTTGACAGTATCCAAGACTAGATTTCACATCAGTCTGAAAGCTGGTAGGGCCAGGACTGAGCTGCCACACTCAGAAATAAACTGGGGGCCTGGAGCGATGGCTCCACAGTTAAACACACTGGCTGCTTTTCCAGAGGACCAGGGTGCAATTTCCAGCATCCACAGGGTGGCTCACAACCATCTGTAACCACAGTCTCAGGGACATATATCCATGCAAGTGACACGGAGACATAAATGCAGACAAAACGCCCACACACATAAAATAAATGTTTACAAAGGAAAGAAGAAACAGAAGCTCAGCAGGCCCCACTTCAGCAAAGGACTCAGATGGGGGAACTTCTGAGTTCCTACCGAAAACTCAAAGTTCAGTCAATTCCCCAACTTCCCACTCGCTAATAACTGTTAACTTCAGTCTGTTTACCCACAAAAACTTACAGAAGAAAAGGCTTCCTCAATTGCATCTGTCAGAGGCCCCTGCGGAATTTTTCCTAAGCCTGGAAACAGCAGCTGTACTAACTTGTGTCTCCATTTCCTATAATTGGGCTTCAGTGTATTGGGCGCATACTGTAGGGTCTTTGAAACGCCCCGCCAGCACTATAATGTTAGAGAGTTGAGTGTGCCACACTCATCTGTTAGCCATGCATGAATACAGCTATTTTCTCAACAGACCCTCACTTGTGTGGAATGCTGCAATGCTTTAATTGAAGTATTGCTTTACACAGTGTGAAAAACCCACAACTCTAGGACAAGCCAGAAACACTCAACTACAACTAGAGCAGACTGTACTACTTGACCCTTAACAGGGGTCTTTAAAATCTCATCACAAGCATGCTCAACTGCCCAGAATGGACTAAGACCTCAGCACTCAGGTGGCTAAGACAAGATGGTGGGGAGTTCAAGGCTAGCCTGGGTTACATAGTGAATGCCAAGACATCCTGGGCTACAATGTGCAATTGTCTAAACAAAACAAAAAATGCCTAGTTTATTTTTTTCTTGTCAGCCATGAGAAGTTATAAAGTTGATTTTTACCACACTGTTACTACAATTTTTTCAACTTAAAATGGGTACTGTCTTTCAAACACAATCATCTTGTTAAAATTCACAATCCTACGGTCTCAGCCTTGTAACACTGGATTACAAGCATGTATCCCTGCTGGCTGCCACTCCAGATTACAAGAACGAGGCCATTACAGCTGGGCAGTGGTAGTACATGTTTTAATCTCAGCACTAGGGAGGCAGAGACAGGCGGATGGATCTCTGTGAGTTGGGAGGCCAGCCTGGTCTGCAGAGTGAGTTCTAGGACAGCCAGGGCTATACAGGGAAAGTCTATCTCAAACAAACAAACAAAGAAGACAAATGGGGAAAAGAGCCATCACAAGCAACTACACACCGAGACTGAACTGAGGTTAGAGTGAGAGGTATCTGGTATGAGTGCTTACTCTGCCCCTACAGACTACGTTGTTTGTGGGGTTTGAGATCCATCAGCTTCTCAAGCGCTAGGATTAAAGGTCCTTACCACTGCAGTTGGTACTGTTAGGAGGTTTTGCTGAGTGATGGAAAACTTAGAAAATTCCACCTCTTGGGGCTGGAGAGATGGCTCAGTGGTTAAGAACACTAGCTTGTCTTCAAGAGGTCCTGAGTTCAATTCCCAGTAACCACATGGTGGCTTACAACCATCTGTAAAGAGATCTGGTGCCCTATTTTGGCCTGCAGGGATACATGCAGACAGAATACTGTATGCATGATAAATAAATCTCACCCCCCCCCCAAAAAAAGACCCTTCCACCTCTTAAGTGCATCTGGTGGTACAGAAGCCCGGAAGTCTGGCAGTGGTGGCTACTTCTTTAATTCCAGCACTCGGGAGGCAGAGGAAGGCAGATCCCTGTTCAAGGTCAGCCTGGTCTATAGAGTAAAATCAGAGAAACTCTGCCCCGGAAAAAAAGCAAAACAAAACAAAGAAAGACTGCAGCACTGAAACTTCAGACCTGGACTGAGAATCGTTTAGGCACTGTGCTACGACCATGAGCCGCCATTTTCATTTTTTCAACATGGTGTCCTAGTGAAGACTACGCTATACATGCAGACTTAAGCAGTACTGTACAAAAAAGCAAAATCTCAAGAGTCTAAACCACACATGTGTACACACACACACACACACACACACACACACACACACACACGAGGGTTATATAAGATATACATATATCAAGCTATACATTTTAACTGTTTTCTTTCTTTTAATTTGGATATGTGTAGTGCATTCATAGGTGCTGTGTGTGTGTGTGTGTGTGTGTGTGTGTGTGTGTGTGTGTGTGTGTAAGCCATCTCCTCTACTTGTTACCTAACAGTGGACCAAGCAGGCCCTAATCCTAAAATTCAATTTAAATTCTAAAAAGACCCTTTTATCTTCACCTTAATAATGCAAAGTACTGCTCTAGCACTTTCAAACAAGAACTGAACCACACTAATTTTTTCCAGAGCCTTGTGTGTGTGTGTGCTTTGTTTTAACTTCTTTGTTTGTAGGACCCCGCACTAAGTTTTAGGGTACTGGAAAAACGTGAAGGAAACACACCCAATCCTCAAACACCAACAGCCCCCCAAAACCAAGACCCTCAAGTCTGTAAGGGGGCAGTATCTAAATGCAACACACATATCTAGTCATTAAGTCCAAGTATCTTTGAACCAGTATTGAGAACCAACCACAAACTAAAGATAACGTGATATCATATGCTTTGACCATAAGATTTCCAAAAAGCTGTAATTCTCATGACCCTCATTAACCACAAACTGAAAGATGAAAAAGTTTACTGTGGGCGTAGTTCAGGGAGAAAATGTTTAACATGCTCAGAGTCCTGAGTTCAACTTTCAACACCAATAATACAGCTAAATTAAGCCTTTGCCCATATTTCATGAAGCCAAAGGCCTACATAGTATAAATGACACATGCGTGTGTGTGTGTATCTGTGTCTGTGTGTGTGTGTATGTGTCTGTGTGTGTATGTGTGTGTCTGTGTGTGTGTGTGTCTGTGTGTGTGTCTGTGTGTGTATGTGTGTGTGTCTGTGTGTGTGTCTGTGTGTGTGTGTGTGTGTGTCTGTGATGAGCCTGGCATCCTATCTTGAAGATGTACTTTTCTTTTATGTGTATGAGTGTTTTGCTTACATGAAGTGCACTATGTGTGCCTTATACCTTGGAGGCCCAAAACTACCCGATCCCTGGACTGGAGCTACACATGGTTGAGCCGTGTTGGGAATACCCTGGTTCCTCAGCAGGACAAGCAAGTACTCGTAAATGCAGGACCGTTTCTCCAGCCCGGGAACGGCCCTTTCAAAGGGTCACAAGCACCGGGGGAGGTTTGGCTTCAGAACTAAGGTTCTCAAGGTCTAGTCCTGTGTTAGCTCCTCTATCTCAGAGTGTCACAATCCACGAATTATGTTCACCAAAATTAGAGTTTAAAATTGATGTTTTAAGGGTTTACTATTCATCTCCACAGTCTCAATGCATTTTTTTTTTTGTGGTTTTTCTAAACAGGGTTTCTCTGTGGCTTTGGAGGCTGTCCTGGAACTAGCTCTTGTAGACCAGGCTGGCCTCGAACTCACAGAGATCCACCTGCCTCTGCCTCCCAAGTGCTGGGATTAAAGGCGTGCGCCACCAACGCCCGGCAGTCTCAATGCATTTTATAATCCTTGATAGATTATAGCAGTGTTTCAGAACCCTCTACCTTGGATGACAACTACAAAAAACACATAGGTTAATGACAGGCTCAGAACCGTGAAAACAGTACCAAGTACCAGTGCAGGACTGAAGAACAGAACCCGGTTCCAGCATCTGCATAGTCTGTATGCAATCACAGCTACTCCGGGTGTTATTTGCTGACTGAATCAAGGGTTAAAACAGATTATCTTTTTTTATTAAGCACCGGACTCACTAAGTAGACCCAGCCTGTCCCTGCTCCCTGAATGCTGGGTTCAGGCGGGTGTCGCCACACATGGCTAGAATAGATTATCTCTTAACGCTACCCTCCAGCTCTCTCTGCGTCAGCTTGCTCTCTGCCTCCAAGAAAGCCTAGATATCCACTTTTTACTGATTTTCCTGGCAGCTGAGTCGATAAGGCCGAGAAGATCATAATGGACCCACAGGACATATATATGTTCTATGGGTCACGAGTTTGAAATACGGTCAACTACGTTATCTTTGAAGAGACCACCTACATGAGACCGTTTGCAAAATTTGCAGTGAACAGGCTATTAATTTAGTAACAGTTTAAAGAGGTATTTCGCAATTTTACCTTGAGCCATTTCTTGGCTTTGCTCTTCTCTGTCAGTGAAAAAAGATTTTTTGAATCACGACACAGTATCTCCAAGATTATACAGATCTTAAGCTGAATCCACTTCAAACTCTTTACCCTCGGCAGCGCTCTAATTTACCTGCTTTCATACGTAGCCTCTAGACCCCCCCAACACATACTCTCAGCAGTAACCGACAAAACGGCCGCAAAATTCCGCCACCTAAAGGCGAAACTAAGTAAGGTTTTTCTGGTTCAAAAACTAAAAAACTAACGGCAAAATTAAGCTGGAGCAACAATGGCTCAAACAGCTTTCTAGGCTTCCCGTAGCCCTTTATAGGAGCGCAGGCGCGCTCTCGGGCTGCAGGCAGCAGCCTTACCTCGCAGTCTGCTCCCGCGACGCCAGCTACTGCGTGAGCGCGATCCGCAGCCTTTTTACCCTATCGGCTGGTCTGGTGCCGGCCAGGAGGCGCCCCGCCCCGCACACGTCACGCCTCCCCTCCCCCTGCCACTCCGCCCACCGCATCCGCCTCGACAGCCTGCTCAGCCAAGGCCAAGGTCTCAGCTGCAAAATCACTAACTGGAGAAAAAAGCTGGGCCGGCAGGCGGATTGCGATAACACCCCACTTGCCGCTGGGGTTCATCTTAGAATTATTTTGATTTGGTTAGTTTGGGGGTTCGTTTTGTTGTTGTTGTTGTTTTTAGAGTTTAGAAAAGCTCTTGCTGGCACACTCAGAAGGCAGAGGTAGGTAGGCTCTGTGAGTTCCAGGACAGTCAGGGTTACCCTGTCTCGAAAATAAAACAAAAGACTGGCCTGAGATCCCGGAGTGCTGAGACTGACAGGCTACAAAGGGGGAGCCAGGACACAGAAAGAGAACAATGCTTCTCACCCTGAGATCTACTTTACAGTTCCTGTTGTCTGAGAGTAAAACTTCATCACAATTGTAAACCAAAACTGTCTACAGAGGTAGAGCTTGTTTTCCTACAGCAAAGCAACCAGCTGTGGTGCTCAAATTTGTAATCTCAACATTTTCGGGGAGGAAATAGACCAAGAGTTAAAGGGAAGTGTCAGCCACAGCAGAGTTCAAGGTCTGCGCAGGACAGCTGTGACAGTTTCAAAGAATTCAAATGAACAAAAACCCTATGCTTCCTTATAAACTCTCATCCCTAGCCCCAGACAATACATCTCATGAACCACCACAGTTCCAATTACCAGCATTAATTCTTCAATCCAGCTTACACCCTTCTTACTTAATGTTTGAACTTTACTCAACTTTGAAACTTTCCCTAACCTTTAAACCTTGTTGCAAATTACAGCTATGAGCAATGCCACAAAGAAAGCCACGGTAGACTCTGTGTGCAAAACTCTGAAGACGGCCATACTCCAGACTCTGTGTGCAAAACTCTGAAGACGGCCAAACTCCAGACTCTGTGTGCAAAACTCTGAAGACGGCCATACTCCAGACTCTGTGTGCAAAACTCTGAAGACGGCCATACTCCCGTCTCAGTGTCTAGCGCTTGACCTGAAGGGTGTTCTTTCTTATCTCTCTACTTAACAAACTCGTTAACTTTGCTTCACTGGGCTAGTTCAGACATTCTTTCCTGCGGCGTGGTCGGGATCAAGCCAAGGGCAGTGTGGCTGACTCAGGCCACCGGGGCAGAGAGGAGGCTAGGACAGGAGACTATTTTCTCTTTCCTGTACATCAGACTCCTATTTTCTCTTCTCTATACAAAGAAAGTGACTTTTGTGAGTAGCAAGAGTAAAACAGAACCATGAGAGAAGACCCAAACATCCCTAGACACCAAATCCCAGACGGCAAGGCAGCAGCCCCGCCTCCTTTAAGCTAACCCACTGTTTCTGAGATCCCAATTAAACTTTCATTAGAAACAAAGAAAACAGCTAATTCCAAATATCCTCTTTAGATAACACATTTGGTGAAGACACAAAGAAAACTAAATGAAAAAGGTATGGTTCTCTCACGTCAATGACTGATCCCCCAGCACTCAGGAGGCTACAGCAGGAGACGCATCCTGGCCATCCTAGGCTACGTTATGGGTTCAGAGCCAGCCTATACATACATACATACATACATACATACATACATACATACATACATGCACACATCAAGGCCCTGTTGGAAGCAAGGAGCACAGCTCATCAGTGTGTGGACTGCTGAGATTCTTGACATCCCCGTTTCAGCAAGCTAAAAATCCCCTTTCTACCGTTCACTGCACCCTGTCCAGCTTGAGTCTCCAGTCCTTTCTACCAGCAGTGTTTAGTCCCTTCAAGCTGCCTGCTGTGCAAGCCACGAGCACTGGAAAGTCTTTCCTAAACAATGTCATTCTTCATGACCGGCCGACAGAACTGGCCTTCTCGTGCCTCCTGACATCTACACAGGCTTCCAGTACAAACCCTTTGACACAGAGGTGATCCGCTAACAGCTCCACCTGTTGTGGTGACCCCCAACCATAAAATTATTTTTTTCTACTTCATAACTGCAATCTTGCCCTTATAAATCATAATGTAAATATCTGTGCTTTCCAATGGTCGGGTGAGCGCCGTGAAAAGGTCATTTGATCCCACACGCTGCCCTTGTTGGGCCTGCTTTCTTAGTCTGAGGGTTTGCTCATCTTTGAACACCCCGCACTGTGCACACACCTGGTATCATCTGTACCTTGGCATTAAGAACATGCTGCACGTTCGAGAGGGTTGGCCTAATGGGAAAGCTGCGCATAGCACTGCACCAATGCCTGGTCTTTAACTTGTCAGGGTTTTAATACACCTTTTACTAATGGATGGATAAATAATGTATTAATGATCAAATTCAGAGCAGCCACAATAACATATACGTCTGTTATAAACATAATCAATTTGATGTTGTTCAATTAAGGAGTGCAGTGTTAACTTGGGAAAGTAATTCAGAAGAGGAAAAGGCTTCTAACACATCCGGGGGCACAACGTCCAGCCTTGTGAATGCTAGGCAACACTTTAAGCTGCTCCCTAGGCCCTAGTTTCTAACAGAGTCTCACAGTTTGAGTTGGTCTTGAACTCTGCATTCTGCCTTCTGCCTGGGCTTCCAGAACTCTGGCAACAACACCTAGATTAACTTAATTCCTTGTTTTCAACAAAGCAGAGCTAGTGAGGGTGTCACCACAGAAATCCTAATCCCAGGGTGAGTGCTCAGAAAGACTTTTTTTTTTTTTTTTTTTTTTTTTTGGTTTTTCGAGACAGGGTTTCTCTGTGGCTTTGGAGGCTGACCTGGAACTCACTTGGTAGTCCAGGCTGGTCTCGAACTCACAGAGATCCGCCTGCCTCTGCCTCCGGAGTGCTGGGATTAAAGGCGTGTGCCACCACCGCCCAGCCAGAAAGACGTTTTAAAATGGCAAGATTCAAAAATCTTAGTTCCACAGACTCAAAGCAACAATAGGTTTGTGAATTAAAATGTTCACTATATTTACAACCAACTCAACATTTTTTTCCTCTGACTCTGCAATACCACAGAAATTCCAAGTGACATCGACAAAAACTAGGTAGGCTTTTAATCCTAGGGCTGTACCCTATCTTCAACTTTTTATATAATAACTATTTTGAGGGTTTTCCCTACAGAAGCAAACAGATTTAAAAAAATCTCTCTAAAGCATGAGAGACTAGCAATAAAGCCAAAATAAAACTCAAAACATATTTGACGAATTATTTTGGAAGCTATAATTGCCCACGGATTAAATGTCTTGTTTGTTACTGACAAAGCAAATCCCATTAACCTATTCTGTGAGCTACTCACCCAACAGTGAACCAAACTGCTAGTTCTGTAGGGCAATCAAGGTGACACCAAAGGAAGGAACTATAAGCTCAAAAGCTCGAGTACATTCTACTCCCTAGAAAAACATCTTGACTGTACTGCACAATGCAGCCAACAAAGCCAGGAAGACCTACTGGGTAAGAGTGCCCATGAGCACACCACGAGTCACTCAGGCTGGATAGAAGCTAAGTCCACGGAACGCCTACACACTAATTACTGAGCTCACTTGTCTGTGAGTCTATCTAATTCAAGGAGTATGTATGACAAGCTAGGATCCGGGGTACACAGACTGAAACGTTAGATTTAACAATCACAGAAGACAAGCTGAGGACAATACCCTCTGACAGACAAGCAAAGAAAGTGCTGACGGTGGTGCTCCCCGGAACAAGAGTGCTCACCTTGGCAGCCATCATAGACTCGACAGGGTTAAATACCATCCATACCTTATCACAAGCTTCCGGGACCAAAAGTCTGAGTCTGGCTGCTTCTTAGCCACTTGGCTAAGATCCAGCGTGAGTCTAAACCCCTCGGCTGCACCAGGTTATTTTGAAGAGACCATTTAAGGCTTACGTAGTCATTCAGGTATTTGAGGTCTTGAACTGGCTGGGCAGTGTTGTTAAACCTGCCAATACAATGGTGAGTGGAGTCTGCCATCTAGTGGAGAATCTGTGTCACTGGTTCATTGACAGCTCTAAATTTCTGAGATAAGAGGCCCAGTTAAGAGTAATTAGCGGGTGCAGTGACTGACTGTCACTAAGTGCCTACCAGTATGTTAACACTATATGGACAAAGCACCAGAAAACACTAGCCGAGAGACTCTCAAACGGAGAAGGGACACGTGCCAGGGTACCCACATACAGATCCCTGAGGTTCCTAGCAGTCTATGCTGATTTAATAAACTGGAGAGGGAGTAAGTCCTGCATACTTCTAAAATTAGATAAACCGCCCCTTTAAGAAGCACACTCTCCTTTCTGTAGCTCGATGAGTTCCACTTTTGAAAATATTCTCTCAAAGGAATAATGAAACTGGAGAGACTTAGACAGTCATGATAAAACCTTAACTATAGAACTTTATGTGTCTATATTATTTTCCTAGAGACTCAAAGACCCAATAAAAGAGAGAGAGAGAGAGAGAGAGAGAGAGAGAGAGAGAGAGAGAGAGAGAGAGAGAAATGTAGTACTGTTAAGAATGCCAGAGGCAACCCATTTCACTGGTCTGAACAATTCTGCAAACTAGCAAACCTTCCAAACAGCAGGTCAGCTGGGTGTGGTGGCATGCACCTATGTAATCCCACAGAGACATGAGGATTCCCGAAGTCTGTCCCAAACAAGCAAAACAAACAGAGCTGAAGAGATGGCTCAGTGGCTGCTCTTCCAAGGGGCCAGAGATCAGGTCTCAGGACCCACATCAGGTGACTTGCAATGGCCTGTACCTCCAGCTGTAAGGGGATCTGACACCCTCTTCTTAAACAAACAAAAAAATTCAAAGAGCAGATCATGTAACTTGCTGAACAGCACAAATGAATAAATCTCCCCTGTGTCACACCCAGGGTGGATTTCTTCCCATGATTCTGGTGCACTTTAAAGTTCAGAAAAGTCACAGCGGGATCCGAACCGAGAACCAATGACTCACCACACACACTCAGGGAAATTAACTCAAGAGCCCTACCGCAATATTCCAAATTCCAAAGCGGGCGGTAGAAAGTCAAGTCCTTCCAAAAGGAAGCACAGGTAAGAAAGCTGTGTGCACCTAGGGTCAGATAACTCCAGCCCTCTGCCCTGTCATTCTGGATCCGTCCTCCCAAATCCAGCCTGCAGCACTAAGGCGGTACAGGTTCCACCGCAGGCACTTAGTTTCATCGGAGCCAGCACGTCCAATTTCTCACACTGCTATACCCTCAACACCCCGAGCATACAGCGTTTTATTAATGAGTTCCTGAGCATTCAATCAACGACCCTGCAAGCTCTTTCTTCTCGTCAGCAGTAGGGAGAAATCAAGCTACGTGAAGGGACTGCTGGCAGAAATGAACGGGAATGTTAAAGCAATACTGTGTTCCCGACACAGCCAGCCTCCACCATCCACCTCGCCAAACCATTAGGAACAGGAGCAAATGTGCTCCGGATCGGTAACGGAAAACAGGCCCACCTGGGACCGGAGAACCAGGCAAGAGCCACAGAAAGAGGCTTGTCACTACTGAAACACCAGGCAGGGGCAGTCAGCAGAGTGTGGCTTTCAAAGGGACGGAAAAGAAGCCTCCCCGGGGCTTCCGGCTGCAAATCGAGGCCCGGGGACGGAGCAGCATGTCGGCAGGAGGGAGGAGAAAGGGCAGGCCCAGCGCCTGGGCAAGAAGGAAGGGGTGGTGGCCCCGGGCCCCAGGGGAGGGAGAGGAGTCTAGGCCTGGAGTGACGCGGGGAAGGAGAGGCACGCAGACAGACGGACGGACAGACAGGCAGGCAGGCAGGACGGGACGGGACCCCGCGTGCGTCGGGGAGGAAGGAGGGCAGGACTGGCCGCGGGCCGGGGCGAGGTGGGACGAAGGGCAGCAAAGGCAGCGCGCCCGCCGGCCGCACTCGTCCTTACCAGCTGGCAGCGCTTCTTCCGGCGAGCCGAGCGGACCTTGGACCGACCCAGACGCCCAGCCACGAAAGGCTCCGGTCCCAGAGCACAGAGTTCTCGCGATAGTGTGGCCTCCCCACCACGCCTCTCCTTAGTGCTCTGACAGTTTCGCGAGATTTCCTTCCGCGCCTGCGCAAAGCCTCGTTGGAGGGGTGGGTGGGGGTTATCAACGTGGAGGCCGGTGGTAAAATTCCCCTGTCCCTAATCTGGGTCCTTTTCGTGCCGATCAGTAAATCAAATAGGTATTTTGAAGATGTGCTATGCCGGATGGAGAAATACGCCTAGTGAACTCCACGCACCAAATGCTCGCACAAGGTAGATTGTTATTTAACTGTAACTTTTCAGAAGACACAAAACACCTTATATGTCGCATGACTCCGTTGTTATGGAAATAAAGGCAAATCCTTTAAAAAAAAGCGTTTTGAATTGACACATAGTAATTGTACATATCTATGAGGTACAGTGTTAACTTTCAGTGCATGTAAACAATGTGTAGGGGTCAGATGTAGGTAACTGCTATATTTATCATTTCTTCGTATTGACGATATTGGAAATCATATCAGCTAATTGTTTTTGAAATAGTTAATCTGGGTGTGGTAGCACCGGGCTGCAATCCCAGCACTTGGGAGGAGGAAGCGGGAGGATGGGTATTAAGGCCAGCCTCCACGGCTGAGAGTTTGAGAGATGAGGGAAACAGACATATCGCAGGATTATCATCAGTATAGTTGTCCTACTGTGCTGTAGAATATTAGCTACTGTTTCTCGTACCCAGCTCTACCCTTGCTAAGCAGCAGTCAAATTCTTAAGGACAGGAAGAAATGATGCGTAGCAGGTTCGAGACAAGGCTGAGTGGAGAGTTAAAGTTTACTAAGTTTCCTTATGGTAGGGGGCTGGAGAGACGGCTCGGAGGTTAAAAGCACTTACTGTTCTCGCAGAGGGGCCAGTTTGGTTCCCAGCACCTATGTGGTGGCTCACAATCATCCACAACTCCTGTTGCAGGGACCCAATGCCTTCTGGCCTCCGAGGGTACCAGGCATGCACAAGGTACACTTGTATTTGCAGGCAAAACAGTCATACAAATAAAACCTTTTTCCATTGGGGATCGTGGTGTTTGAATAAGAGTAGCCCTCATAGGCCCATATATTTGAATACTTAGGGATCCGGGCATGGCGCTATTGAGAAGGACTAGGAGGCAAGTCCTTGTTGGGATAGGTGTGGCCCTGTTGGAGGAAGTGTGTCATTGGGGATGGGCTTTGAGGCTTTGTGAGCCCCAACCAGACCCAGTCAGTGCCTTGCGTTTTCTTCCTGCTGCCTGTGAATCTGAATGTAGAACTCTGAGCTACTTCTGCCTGCAATGCTCCCTAACATGGCAATAACGGACTAAACCTCTGAAGCTGTAAGCAGACACCAGTGAAGTGTTTCCTTTGTAAGAGCGGCCATGGTCATGGTGTCTCTTCACAGCAATAGAAACCCTAGCTAAGACAGGCTGATGGAGAGCTCTGAGGTTAGATGCAGATGATGACTGTAGAGCAATCTGATGTTTTTATCTGGTGTTTGTAACTGAGTGAACACTTACAAATGGTGGGTGATGCGTTTTAACTTAGGGGAAATGCTACGAGATTTTTTTTTACAAAGTACTGAGAAAATAAATATCAGGATCAATGCTGTCACACTTTCAGGTGTTTTAGGTGGGCTGTGCATGCCACACATAACTGACACCAGAGCTAGTCCCCATCACCCACAGAAGTCTGGTGTCTGGTTCCCTGTCAACCTGAGGTCTGGAGGACGTCTTCTCAGGCTGCCTCTGACCTGTTCTGACCTTATGCAAACACAGAGGGATGTGGGGACATGGCGGAGAGGACAGGCCTGAGTGAGGGGAAGAGGATAAATGTGAGTACCAGGGGCAGAGAAGGCTGATTTCATCGTGAACACACATACTTTTTTCCACTATGAACCAGAAACAACACAGACAGAAGAGCCTGAATAGCAGAAGTGGTGGAAATGGACATGGCCCCAGAGGAAAGCACACGCATGAAACCCATTTGAGCCAGGGAAAATACTGTAATTTGTAACTGGTATTGTTGGGTTGATTTTTTTAAACATGTTTGGTTTTCTTTTTGTCTCCTTGAAATGTGTGTTTGCTTTATAACATGCATTAAGTTAATAGAAACATAATTGACAAATTTATTTATTTATTTGCATTTTCCAAGACAGGGTTTCTCAGCCAGGCAACATTTAATCCCAGTACTTGGGAGGCAGAGGTGGGCCGATCTCTGTGAGTTCGAAGCCAGCCTGATCTACAAAGTGAATTCCAGGACAACTAGAGCTGTTAATATAGAGAAACCCTGTTTCAAAAAATCATACACACACACACACACACACACACACACACACACACACACACACAAAACAGGGTACAAACAAAACAGGGTTTCTCGGTGTAGCCCTCTGTAGTCCAAGCTGACATGAGATCGGTTTGCCTCTGCCTCCGAGTGCTGGGACTATAGGCCGCAACCACGCCTATGATTGGTAAATTTAAATCATACACATATTCAAATGTTGCTCAGCTTTTGGGCCACTGGAAGCACATTCACAATACCCAGCCTTCAACAAGACAGAACTTCCCTGGGTTCTTCTTTTCCACCACACTGTAGGTGCAGTTCTCTGGGTGGAAAGTCTGCTGACACTTCTCTTTGTCATAGCTCACGGGTGTAACAACTCTGTCAATGAGACAAGACAAGACCTGTTAGAAGGGGGAAACTACTTATTCACCCAGCCCTGCTGCTCAAACATGCTCTGTAGAAGAGGGCCCCACATTTCAGTTGCCTGGGCTCCCCTATCCAAATGCAGTGCTTCCTCGGGCTGAAAGGCCCAAAGTGTAGACTCTGGGCATCCGTACCTGCCCGTGCCATGGAGTCACAGAGAACCTGGGTCCTGTATTCTACACTGCATGCACTGAAGGATGCTGGGAAGTTCTGACAGGCTCAGGGGCAGGTCTGGGTGACTCTGGGACAGCAAAGCTATTACTAGCCTAGCCCTCCACCCTCCCTGTTCAGGGAGTGGTCCACAATAAAGGTGCTGAACTGTGGAAAGGGAAGGGTGGTCCCAGCCCCATGTGGTGTCTGCTCAGGAGAGGAGCTCGCCCAACAACAGGAGCAGAGAGCCATCCCAGGTCTGGGTCGTGGGACCCAGAGAGAAGCCACTGGAAGAAAACCTTCCTGGGAAAACCCGAGGCACATGTTGGGGCACACACATGTGGGGAGTCATTGCCTTTGAAGCCCATCTATAGGCTTGGGATTTAAACTGTCCTGCCCAGAGCCAGACATGGTGGTACGAAGCCCTTGGAGGTAGAGGCAGGAAGATCAGAAGTTAAAACAGCCTCAGCTACAAGGTGAGTCTGAGGCCAGTGTAGGTTACAGGAGCCTTTGTCTCAGCTAAAGGCTGGAGACACATGTTCAGGGGTTAAAGTGCTTGCTGTTCTTTCAGATGATGGGAGTTCGGTTCTCAGCACCTATGTTCTGTGACCCACAAGTGCCTGTAACTCCAATTCCAAGCGAGTCAGCATCTTTTTCTGGCCTTCCTAAGTAATTGCATGTATGTGTATATGCAGCCACACAAACATTCACACACACACACATAAATAATAAAACAAATCATTTTCCCTTTATTTTTGTTTTTGTTATTGTTTGTTTGTTTGAGATGGGGTTTCTCTATGTAACAGTCCTGGCAGTCCTGGAATTCAGCTTTGAACAAAGCTGGCCTTGAACAAAGAGATCCTGCCTCTGTCTCCTGAGTGCTGGGATTAAATTCATGTGCCACCACCACCCAGCTAAAATAAATCTTTTTTTAAAAAAACCAAAGAATAGGGGCTGGAGAGATGGCTCAGTGGTTAAGAGCACTGGCTGTTCTTCCAGAGGGCCTGAGTTCAATTCCCAGCAACCACATATTGGCTTCCCATCTGTAATGAGATCTGGCTCCCTCTTCTGGCCTGCAGTCATACATGCAGATAGCCCATTGTATGCTTAATAAATAAATAATAAAATTTTTAAAAAAGAGTAAAATAAGCTGCCCTACCCAGAGTATATAAAAGCAGCTATTTCAGAGCCTTCTGTAACTATGTCTCAGAATTAAGAAGACCCAGAATTTTATCCTAAAGGAAAAAGACATTCCAGTCCTCTTCCCCAAGTTGTTTGAAGCCATTCGTTGATCTCAACTATCTAGTCCCCAGAACATCTGAATCTGTAGCCCTTGGTGGTATGGACCACCAAGGAAGAAGATGGCAGGACATGTTCTCACAGTTGACCAGGGCGCTGGGCACTCAACCAAAACCCCCGTCATGGTCCAAACCCATAGGAACATTGTCATGTGAACACTGCCCCCCCCCCGTGAAATAATGCCTTTGATGGTAAGGTTCTGATTTGATCCTTCTTAAGACTAACTGCTGGTTACTTGCAGTCTGTAACATTTTGAAGACGTTTGATGAGATAGATAGTACTAATACAGAAATATTAACAAAAATATTAGAGCACAAATTGTAATGTAACCAATAATAGTGGTACACACCTTTAACCCAACACTTTAGAGGAGAAAGCAGGAGATTTACAAGATCAAGGACAGCTTGAGTATATAGTGGAATGTGTCTCAAAAAAACTTTTAAGTGTAATTGAATTTGCAAACTAAGTTAGGAATTTAGTTGTAAAAGAAAAAAATGTATAAAAAGAAAGAGAAGTAAATTATTATCAATTCCAAAAGTGAGTCCATGAGGATGGCAGCCCGTGCCCAGAGAACTCCTCCAGCCCACTGACCACAGAAGCCCACGTCTGTGTTCTCAGCAGCCTGCCAGGCTCTGCACTGCTAGTATGGATGCTGACATCATTGGGACAGCCCCCTCCCACTGCTCTGGGGAGAGGGCCTGCCCCAGGGGACTTCTCAGGACCAGCTGGCTTTCCAGCATCTCTTCCTCCCACTCCCGGGCTAGGTGTGTGAGTTTATGTCTTTTTTTTTTTTTTTTTTTTTTTTTTTGGTTTTTTCAAGACAGGGTTTCTCTGTATTGTTTTGGAGGCTGTCCTGGAACTCGCTCAGTAGACCAGGCTGGCCTTGAACTCACAGAGATCCGCCTGCCTCTGTCTCCCGAGTGCTGGGATTAAAGGCATGCGCCACCACCGCCCGGCAGGGTTTATGTCTTTATTTAAGGAAAATAAGCAGTTTTGCAGCCATTGGTACCTGTACGAGGGAAACACAGTAAAAAGCAATATGTTTACAGTTTCAGTGGTGAAAACTTCATGTTAGAGACTGACAACTCTAGTAGTTGTCTACACCATCTCCTTTTCTCCAGATAGAAGATACCAAAATGTACCAAAGATTTCTTCATCTTATTAATAAAGCTGCTAATAAGCCAAAACGTCTGTCATCCTCGACTGCAGCGTGCCAGACTCTGTTGCTACAAGGTTCCTGGTTTGACTGACAAGATCCCTCCAGATATTTTAGTTGTGAGATAGAAACACAGACACAGTCTGAAGTTAAGAAAGCTTCATTTCCAATGGATCTCATGAGACAAATAAGCTAGAAGACACGATGAATGAATTAATTGAAAATGTATTCTTGGGATCTGAGCATGGTGGCTCACAACTTCAATCCCAGCACTCTGGAGGCAGAGGCAGGCGCATCTCTGAGTGTGAGGCCAGCCTGGTCTACAGAGGGAGTTCCAGGACAGCTGAGACTACACAAAGAATCCCTGTCTTGAAAAACCTTAAAACAAACAAACACAGCAGAGTGACAGGAAAGAAAGAAAATAGTGAGGGCAGACACAGTGGGACACCACTAAATGAAATTAATCCTCCGTTTACTGTGGAAGAAGAGGAGGAAGAAGAGGGTGTTTCGGGAAGGATCCAACCGAGGAAGAAAGGATGAAATGAGCTAGCGTGCAAGTTTCTGACATCTGTGATGATTTGGGAAGAGTGTACCAACACCCTGTTCCATTTTGTTAAGAGAAAGAAGAGTGCATTATTTACTCACTGATAAATCAGTGCTGAAGCTGAAAGCCTGGATATTAAAGCCATGGACCATCTTGTTCTAACTGAAGCTCTCTCTCTCTTTTTTTTTTTTTTTTTTTTTTTTTTTTTTTTGGTTTTTCGAGACAGGGTTTCTCTGTGGCTTTGGAGGCTGTCCTGGAACTCGCTTGGTAGTCCAGGCTGGTCTCGAACTCACAGAGATCCGTCTGCCTCTGCCTCCCGAGTGCTGGGATTAAAGGCGTGCGCCACCACCGCCCGGCGAAGCTCTCTTTAAACAGAAGGTAAGAGAACAAATTAAGACACACAGGCTCTGCTTCCTAAGATTTTGTCACGACAACAAAGATCTCAGCTGTGCTTTCATCACGGTGTGGAGCATGTGGTAGTGGCACGTTGAGCTCAGCTTATCTCCGAGAACCCACAAACCCTGAAGGAGAAGCTCGATGCAGACCTTGTAGATTAGGAGAGGATCACCAGCTGGTCAGAAAAAAACCTCTCAGAATTATATCTCTAAAGAACTTGCAAAAAGATTGCAGTCAAAGCGGAACCATTTATAAAATGGTTCTTGCTCCTAGTCATCTGTCCCAAGATTATTGCAAAGCATCCTCTAACTTGCTTGAAGGCTCACAACAGCAGCGTTATTCTCTAGCAATAAAAGCAGAAGCAACCCAAGTGTTGATCAACACATGATGGGTAAATAAAATGTGATATCCCAGTCTTGTAGAATATCATCCCATATACATGGATGAACCTTGAGAACTTGCTGAATGCAGTAAGCCAGACAGAGAGGGCCAATTTGGAATAGGCAGATCTATAGACAGAATGCACAGTGGAGGCTACCAGGGGCAGGGCAGAGGAATGGAGATCATTGCTTAATGAACAGAGTTTCTGTTGGACTCTTTGAAAGTATTAGAAAGAGCAGTGATAGCTGCACAATATTGGAAATACATGGAGTGTCCCTGAAGAGTGCAATTGAAAATTGTTTACATGACAAATTTGGTGTAATACATTTTGTACCACCAAAAAATATTTTTAAATATTTTAAATGACAAATTTGGTGTAATGCATTTTGTACCACCAAAAAAATATTTTTAGGAGGGATGGCAAGATGACTCAGCGAGCAAAGACCGTTGCTGCCGAGCCTGATGACCTGAGCACAGTTGTCCATGCATGCCATAGCACATGCGTATATGCGTGCACGCGCACATACAGAAAAGGCCAGTCGATGTCATAAACGCCTAAGGGTTAAAAGTAAAGTAGTGGTTGGAATAGATAGCCATCATTTTTACAGTTTCTGTTAGGAAATGTGCCTCTGTCAGTGACGGACAGGTAATGTGTTACTGTGGCAAAGGGTGTGTTACTAGATGCTTATTTATTTTTTATTTTTATTTGTGCTTGTGTATGCCGCATTTGTGTAAGGGGTGGTAGATGCCAGAAGAGTGTGTAAGATCCCTGGAACTACAGTTACAAGTAGTTGTAAGCCACTGGGGAATCAAACTTGGGTCCCTTGGAAAAGCCATCTCTCTAGCCCCTGGATGTATTTTATGATGCAAGCCTGACTTAATATTGTAGAAGAAACTGTGACAAGAGATAGAGAAGGAATTATAGATATCAGGAGATCAGAAATCTGAAACTGGAGTCTTGATGACCTTAGCCCTTTGCTTCCCAAACATCCGATTCCAAGACCTGAGCCTGGAAAGGACAACAGACAAAGGCCCGAACGTCTTCCATGCCCTGCCCCTCAATACCTCTGCCTGGGCCCTCAGCCCTTGAACATCCACAGATCTGGGAAGCATCCGTAGAGGGTGAAAGGGTCAAGAAATTTCCCACACAGAAAGCTTAACCCAAATCTGCATTTTCTATAGAAAAAGCAAGTTTATAAGAACAGCCGACACACAGCTTGGACTGCAGTCTAGGTAATCTCGGGGGAGGAGGAGCTACTTTTGAACAGCATTGGCAAAAAGCACATTGTCCCAGGGTAGAATAGTGCCAAATGGCACAGGCAGCCTGTAAGGAAAAAGAAAAGGCACCTTGAATCTTCACCAAGCACCAGCACTGCCAGCCTCAAGAGGTATAGACTAAGCATGGGGAAGCTCTTAAATGTTTACTGGGTTGGTGACTTTATGTACAGAATCTCACTTAATTCTCATAACCACTTGGAACTGAGCACAGAGACTCAGAACATCCTCTGGCCCGCACAGCTCTCATAAGAGGGAATGAGAGTCAGACTCAAGCTAACCACTTGGAAGTGAGCACAGAGACTCAAACCCTTCCTCTAGCCCACAGTGCTCTCATAAGAGGGAAGGAGAATCAGACTCAAGCTGCTTTGACTCCAGCATCACGTTCCTCTGGCCTCACTAAGGACCAACCTCCCTCTTTTCTGCCCTGGATCCATTGGCAACCACAGAAGAGGTTGCTGTGACAGCACTGATGCCCTGGGGACACTCAGTCACTACAGAGATCTTTTCCCATTCTAGGGAGGAATGGTCCACCTGTCCTCAGCCTGTAGGGTTTCAGCCACACTCCAGAGTCACAGTGACACTTACTGTAAACACAAGGTTAGATATCGGAAGCCACAACATAAAAATAAAAATCAGGATTCCGCTGTGATCTCTTCTCTCTGCCTCACTCATGCCACACCCGCTCTTGCACGTGTAAGGGAGCAGGGACCGTCAGACCAGCTCCTAGAGTACATCACTAGATAAACTTGCTTGTCTTTTAAAAACAAAATTGCCGGGCGTTGGTGGCGCACGCCTTTAATCCCAGCACTCGGAAGGCAGAGGCAGGCGGATCTCTGTGAGTTCGAGGCCAGGTTAGACCAACAGCCTCCAAAACAGAGAAACCCTGTCTGGTAAAAAACAACAAAAAAAATTATTTATTTATTTATTTATTATGTATACATGTTCCGCCTGCATGTGTCTCTGCATGCCAGAAGAGGGCGCCAGATTTCATTCCAGATGGTTGTGAGCCACCGTGTGCTTGCTGGGAATTGAACTCAGGACCTCTGGAAGAGCCGCCAGTACTCTTAACCTCTGAGCCATCTCTCCAACCAAACTTGCTTGTCTTTAGGAAACTGTGTGGGTGTTTAAGAATAGAGATGAAAGTCAAACTTGAAAACAAAATTGAAACCGAGATGGAAGCAAGTAGCTGCCGGTTAATGGGCGGGTGAGTGCAGGTGTTACAAACACACAGTGAAATTTTGTGAGCCTGGAGACACGTATGACAGCGCATATAAACTTTAAGTAAACTATGGTACGTGAGGGAAAATGACCTTCGGAGGGGCAATGCTGTATGATCCTACCTGCACAAAGTTTGATGACAGCAGTCACATGACATGCATAGGAGACAGCGGGTGAGCGCTGCTTTCCAGGGACTGGCAGAGGGCGCTGAGGAGTGAGCGATGGATGAATACGCAGTTTGAGATTTCTAATTCATCCTTTTTTTTTGGAGACAGAGTCTATGTAGCCCTGACTGACCTGCAACTCTCTATGTAGGCCAGGCTGGTTGAGAATTCGTAGAGATCTGCTTGCCTGCCCCTGCCTCCCTCGTGCTGAGATCAAAGGATTACCCGACATGCTTTTAGCTCTTGTCTTCTTTTAAAGATGGAGGTCTCACTGTGTTGCCCAAGCTGACTTAAAGTTCCTGAGCTCAAAGCTGGGGTGGTGGTGCACACCTTTAACACCAGCACCTGGGAAGCAGAGGCAGGCAGATCTCTGACTTCAAGGACATCCAGGTCTGCACAGCAAGTTCTAGTCCAGCTAGAGCCACACATTGAGATAATGTCAAGACAAAGCATCAGATTCCTGAGTTCAAATGGCATTCCTGTCTCAGCTTCTCAGGTCACTGGAGATGGTGAAGGTTATACAACACTGTGCATATATTTAATGAAATTGAAATGGATGCTTAAAAAGGCAAATGCTAAGCGCATCCTTGTGGGGGATGTTGATAATGGAGAGGGCTGGGCAAGCGGGGGCAGAAAGCATATGGAAACCTCTGGACCTCTGCTCAATTTTCCTGTGAATTTAAACTGCTCTTTGGGCTGGAGATACGACTCGGTGGTAGAGTGCTTGCTTAGCAAGTGTGAAGCCCTGGGTTCAACCATGAGCACCAAAAGAAGAAAGAAACAGGGGCCTGGAGAGTTGGCTCAGTGGTTAAGAGCACTGACAGCTCTTCCAGAGGTCCTGAGTTCAAGTCCCAGCACCCACATGACAGCTCACAACTATCTGTAACTCCAGGATCCAACACCCTCACACAGACATACATATAGGCAAAAACACCAATAAAAGAAAATAAATTTAAAAAGAAAGAGAAAAGGGGAAAGGAAGAAAGAAAAAGGAAGGAAGGAAGGAAGGAAGGAAGGAAGGAAGGAAGGAAGGAAGGAAGGAAGGAGCCAAATGGGAACAACAATAAAAATAAATTAACAAGTTAGCTAGCTCAGTAGGTAAAAGCATTTGCCACGCAAACCTGACCCCCTGAGTTCAATTGCTGGAGCAAAGTAAGGTGGAAGGAGAAACTGAGCCCTGCAATTGCCCTCTGACCCCCTCCCACACTCACCCCTAACCCTTCACACTAAAATGTAAGAATACAAGGCTCTAATGCCACATGGAGGGATGCTATCTCAGCCTGGACACATGGGGAAGAACCTAGGCCATTGCTGGGATGATGTGACAGACTCTGGAGTCCCTCATGGAGTGGGGGTGAGGGATTGGGAGGGTTGGGGGGTGGGTAAGGAGGGGAGGGAGAGGGAACTGAAAGTGACATGCTTAAAAAGTTAAATAAAAAATCTGGAAAAAAAGAAGAATACAGGGCTCTAATTCGGTTGGTAGAGCACTTGCCTCGCATGCTTGAAGCTCCGAGTTCAATCCCTAGCACAGCATGAAACTACGCATGTAACCCACACTTGTAACCCAACTTTGGGAGATGGACGATCAGGAGTTTAAGGTCCCCTCAGTACAGAATCAGCTTGGGGCCAGCCAGGGCTACTCAAAACAAAAACAAAACAACAACACCGCCATAGTGCACTGTTATAGCCCCAGTTTAAAGACCAAACTCCATGTTATGAAACACGGTGGGTTTCAGCCTTGCCTTGCTGTGGAGGAACCTATTTTACAAGCGCATTTCATTTAGTCTGTGTTCAGAGGAGGAGGCAGGATGGCTTTGCATTTGTCCTGCCTGTCAACAGCTCCATCCACCCAGCACCACCCTCAAGACGCACTGCTGAGCAACTTTAAGTTAAGAGGATTCTATCCCAGGGGCCCACAAAAGTGTGGAAAGAGAGGGCTGACTCCAGGAAGTTGTCCTCTGACCTCTACACGCACCACTTCCTCTCTGTCACTCACCCAGGCAGGCACTAATAGTGTTTTCTAAAAGGGGGAGGGCTGAGAGGGAACTCCGGACTCCCCCGGGAGCTGCAGTTTGTCTCAGTCCCTGCTGATGGTGCATTCAGCTGTTGGCCCATGTAGACCCCTTCTGTATTCAGTCTGTGTGGCTTCAGCAGGCCAGCTCCTCAACCAGGCGGCTCAGCTTGCCCTGAGGCTCCACCCCAGGTGCACGTACAGCAGATTCTCTTCGCATCTCTGCCTGCCTCCCACCCGCTTCCAATTCTTCCAACTCCGCTGTGTTCTCTGTCAGCTTTTTATAGACATGTAATCCGCATGCGTGCGTGCATGCACACATACATAGATTTACTGTGTGATGTGTAAAGTATGAGCTGAGAGTTAATGGCAGTAATTAAAGTTGTAATAAAGAAAAACATGTTTGGCAGTGACCAGCTATCATGGGAAATTGGGGCTGCTTGGCAAACTGTAGCCCCTAAACCAAATACACAGACACGCATAGATAGACACACACACACTTGTAAATAGATATCATTTTTGATAAAAAGAAATCAACATAGCTTATGAATTTGCTGTTATTGGATAAATTCTGGCCTTGTGGATAGACGCAAACGTGTTTGTCTATGCTTCTCACAATTTGCACACATCACCTCAGCTACACAGGAGACTGAGGTAGCAGGATCTCTTGAGCCCTGGAATTTGACATCAGGGAAACTTAAGGGGACTTTGTCTCAAAATCAAGCATAAAACAAAACAGCGCAGAAACCCCCAACCCCTCCCCCAGCCAGCGGTCGAGACTTACATGCTGCAGCAGCTAATCGCGTCTTCTCTGCAGAAACACTTCTTACAGTCCCTCACCCAGAAAGAGTTGATGGGGTGTTTGCCACCATCAGGATCCACGCACTCTAAAAGGAAGCAAATCCCCAGGTCACACGGCAGGAACAAAGTCCTTGGAGCAAGCCACGGGCACACGACTACATGGCGTCAGAGAATGTTTTTGTCTTCAAGACAGCTAGTGTCAGGGACCTCCAGCCATCAGTCAGCTAGGCTGTATCACGTACTCACAGAGAAGACGTGACACTAGGCCACCTTGCCACCCCTTCTGACATAAAGCAAATTCCAAGTAACAAGCCTGGGGTTTACCAGTCAGTTAAAGATTAGCTTAATTGGAGAAACTACAAGGTCGTCAGGAGACAGGCCGGAGCAGTAGTAAATTGTAATAGATAGGATCTGACCTGCTGTCAGGTTAGCAAACAACATAGGAGTTCCTACCCCCAACCTCTTGCCCTGTAGATTAGGTAGCCAGTCGACACAGCAGACCACCTCTCCCACTGACCTCTTGCCCCTGCAGCTGCAAGCACACCTTCCCCCTTTCCCTCCTCAGTTCTCCTATATAAATCCCCTTGTGATGAAATAAAGTTGTCGCCTTGATCAGAATCCTGTCTTGGCGTCCATTCCTGTATCCCCTGTCCTCCATCTTTCTCCTAGGTGTCCACCAGACCCACGTTGAATGTCCTGCGGGTCGGGACAGGCTAGCACCCAGCACACCACGGCACCTGCCTCTGAGACTGTCTTTATTTCTGTTGGTTGGGTTTTGTTTGTTTGTTTGTTTGTCTTTTTAGACAAGGTATTGCTGTGCAGCCTTGGCTAGTCTGGAAATCACTGTGTAGACCAGGTTGTCCTCCGACTCATACAGAGTCAGCTGCCTCTGCTGAGATTAAAGGCCTGAGCATTCCGATACTGTCTCTTAACCTCCAGCCCAATAATGTTTCCTAAGCAAGCTTAAATCCTTCTAGGTTTTATTTCAGAACAGGTATTGAAGAACAAGTATGCCCTTCCTTTTTAATGAGGTAGCTATTAGGCGTGGCTGCCAACAGGGGCTCAGGCAGTTCTCTCTGGTTCTCCTGAACGAAACGCTCACTTCTCTACTAGTATGGTTTTGTATCAGTGATTCTCAAGGCTGGGTGCACAAGTGAGGCATTGTGGGTACTTAAAAGTCACCCACAGACCGGGGTGTAGCTCATGGTAGACCAATTATTGGGAATGCACAGGGCCCTGGGTTTAGTCTCCAGCACCAAAATAAATGAACAAACCCTGTGTGCCTGATGCCAACCAAAGAACAACAGAGCCGTTATCTGGGGGTGGAGCCCAGACGGCCTTGTTTCCTTCGGTTTTCATTTTTGTGGGGGAGGGGAAGATGGGTGCATCATGTATTTCAGGCTGGTATTGAACTTCCTATGTACCCAAGGATGCATTTTTTAAGATTTATTTTTATTTTATATATATGAATGTTTCTCCTGCATGTGTGTAAGGCTACTGCATCATACCTTCAGATACCAGAGGAGGGCACCAGGTGCTCTGGAACTGGAATTACCAGCAGTTGTAAACTGCTGTGTGGGTGCTGGGAACTGAACCTGGGTCCTCTATAACAGCAGCCGGTGCTCTTAACCACTAAGCCGTTTCTTCGGGGCCTGCACTGGACTCAATCCTCCTGTTTCTGCCTCAAGGATAAGTATTACAAGAATGTACCATCACACCAGCTTTATGTAGTACTGGAATTGAACCGAGAACCCCATACATACTAGGCAAACACTCTACCAGGAGAGCTGCATCCCTAGCCCTCTGCCTTACTTTTAAAAATGTTCAGCCAGGGTGAGAATCTGCCTTAGATTTAAATAATCCAAGTGTGCTTGAAAGTAAACATCATCAGCACTCCCTGGAGCTGCACTGAACACCAGATTTTCATACCTGCTGTCAGAGCCAGTGAACCAAACCTGTCTTGGGATAGTGGTTATCATATTTACTTGTTTGTATTTTTTAATGTATTATTTTTAAATATAAAAATATTATTTAAATTTTTTTAAACTTTTAAATTTTAACGTGTCTTGGTGTTTTTGTTGCATGTGTTTCTGTGTAAGTGTGTCGGATCCAGCAGAAGTGGAGTTACAGACAGTTGTGAGCTGCTGTGTGTGTGCTGAGAATTAAATTCGGGTCCTTCAGCAGAGCAGCCAGTGTCTTAAGGCCTGAACCATATCTCCAGCTCCACAATATGCAGTTTTATACAAGTGTGTCAAGCAGACACAGCCTACTATCACCCAAGGGTGCTCTTTAAGTTCTTGCTTGAGTTTTCCCTGAGTTCGCTCAATAATGGACTGTGGTCTGGAAGTGAATGGCAAATACAGGTTTCCCTTCCCTAAATTTCATCAATTTCTTTTGAAGTTTCATCACAGCAGCAGGATGAAACTAGTACAGTATTAAAGTGCTTGTTTGGTATGTCTGCAAATCTCCAGCAACATTCACACACACACACACACACACACACACACACACACACACTCTATACAAACAACACACACACCCCACACACTCTACACACACACACACACCCCCTACACACACCCTATACAAACAACACACACACCCCACACACCCTACACACACATACCCTACACAAACAATATACACACCCCACACACCCTACACACACACACCCTACACAAACAACACACACACCCCACACACACCCTACACACACAGCCCACACACCCTACACACACACACTACACACACCTTACACAAACAATACACACCCACACACACAGCCCTCCACTCTACAACACCCTACACAAACAACACAACGTCCCCACACCCTATACACACACACACCCCACACACGCTACACACACCCTACACAAACAATACACAACCCCCACACACAGCCCCCCACTCTACAACACCCTACACAAACAACACACAACCCACATACCACATATGCCCTAAACATAACACACACACACACACACACTCTCTCTATCTCTCTCTACACACAACACACAACACATACACACACACTGCATTTAAAGAAGATTGCCAGGATAATCATGTACATTAGAATTTTAATGATGCATTCCATTCTTAGGCATATACCCAAAGGATGCACACTCATACAACAAGGACATCTGTTCCACTATGTTTATAGCAGCATTATTTGTAATAACCAGAACCTGGAAGCAACCTAGATGTCCCTCAACTGAAGAGTGGATAGAGAAAATGTGGTACATTTACACAATGGAGTACTACTCTTGGGAAAAAAAAAAACAATGGAATCCTGAAATTTACAGGAAAATGTATGGCACTATAAGAAACCATCCTGAGTGAGGTAACCCAGTCACAAAAGGACAAACTTGGAATGTACTCAATCATACATGGGTTTTAGACAAAGGATTACCAGCCTATAATCCTCACCACCAGAGATGCTAGGAAACAAGGAGGACCCTAAGAGAGACATACATGGTCCCCCCAGAGAAGGGGAAAGGAACAAGGTCTCCTGAGCAAACTGGGAGCATGGAGAGAGGGGAGAGGATGTTAGGAGAAAGAGAAGGGGAGAAAAGGAAGGGAGAGGAGGACAGGAGAGAGCAGGAAGATCGAGTCTGGGAAAAAATACAAGAGAGCAAGAAAAGAGACACCACAATAGAGGGAGCCAGTATAGGTCTAAAGAGAAATCTGGCACTAGGAAAATGTCCTGAGATCTACAAGGATGACACAAACTAAGAATCTAAGCAATAGTGGAGAGGCTCCCTTAAATGCCATTCCCTGATAATGAGATTGACGACTACCTTATATGCCATCCTAGAGCCTTCATCCAGTAGTTGATGGAAGCAGAAGCAGAGACCCACAGCTGAACACTGAACTGAACTGGAATTCAGTTGCATAGAGGGATGAGTGATGAGCAAAGGGGTCAAGACCAGGCTGAAGAAACCCACAGAAACAACTGACCTGAATAAGGGGGAGTTCATGGAACCCAGACTGATAGCTGGGAAACCAGCATAGGACTGTTCCAGACCCCCTGAACATGGGTGTCAGTTAGGAGGACTGGGCAGTCTATAGGACCTCAGATAGTGGATCAGTATTTATCCCTAGTGTACAAATGGACTTTGGGAATCCATTAACCATAGAGGGATACTCTCTCAGCCTAGACAACAAGGGAAGTTCTAGGCCCTGCTCCAAATGATGTGGCAAACTTTGAAGATCCCCCATGGAAGGTCTCACCCTCCCCGGGGAGCAGAAAGGGGATGAGATCGAGGTTCTTGGGGGGCAGGGGGAGGGAGAGAGAACTGGGATTGACATGTAAAACAAGATTGTTTCTAATTTAAATTTTTAAAAATTGTGTAAAAAATTTAGATGCTGCTTCTTAACCCTGACTACAGGTGAAAATCAAAGAACTTTTAATGTGCAACTCCAGCCCCGGAAGTTCTTATTCAACCGTTCTTAAATAGGGCTTAATTGGGGTGTGTTTCAGAGCTCATCTAGCTAGAATTGAGAGGCACCTTCTTACTGTGTGTGTCCACCAGAACCCTTCTCCCAATGTAGTTTCCAAGGCTTCCTATCTGTCATAAATACCCAGTCATGTCTATAGGTCATTTCTACCAGGCTGCAACGACATTAAAAATACAGGAGAACCCAGGACTTACCACCAGGCAGCTGGTTTGGGAGTCCCTTACGGAATTCAAGAGAGCACACTGCGTTGCATGCTGTCACCAAGGTGGCAAGGAACAGGAGGCTGCCCAGCAGAGACTTCTGTAATGCAGGGAAAGGTTGGGGGTGGAGAATGAGTGACTCTTGAAGGTCATCCTTTACTGAGATCCCTGCTGAACTCTGGCAGGAAGGACACAGTGTGGAGCAACTGTCATGTTCCTCAGCTTGAGCGCTGTGATTACTGTGACACACAGTGTGTCCTGGAACTCACAGTGTAGCCCAGGCTAGCTCTGAACTCAGGGCAATCCTCTCGCCCCGACTCCCAGGTGCTGGGATAACAGGCGTGAGCCACCACAGGAGGCTAAGAAGGCATCTTGTGACATGTGATTGTGACACCTTTCTTGTGACATGTGATTGTGACACCTTTCTTCTTCTCCTCCTGCTTTCTTCTACAGAGACATCCATCCAACTGAAAACTGTAAAGAAATGCGTGAATCTTTCCAAAGGAAGAAGGAATAAAGAGAAAAGAGCCTGGAGTGGTGCCTCCTTGGGAGGCAGCCACAGGAGGATCTCTGAGTTCAAGGCCTGGTGGTCTGTCTGCATAATGACTACAGGGTTACAGGACTACATAGAGAGACACTGTCTCAAAAAAAATCATAAGAAAGAAAAGAGAAAATCAAACATCAAAAGACTACATAAAACCAGCCACATTTTTCACACACACCAAGACTTAAAATGCATTTGTTCTTCATGTTACATTCTTTTTCTTCCATAATCTCCACCTCAAAACCTCTGTATCTGACTTCCAACCCAGCCGGCTGATAGGATTTCTGTGCCTTTACATAGAAAGAAAACCACTCTGCTGCAATGGCCATGCAAGTTTAGAGTCTTCTTTTACTGAGTCCAGAACAAGAGAACCCCAAAGATCCCAAAGACTGAGAGTTGTGCTGGTCTCCCCATTCCTAGGGAGACACATAGACCTGGGCCACTGCGGGATGCAGGCCAAGTATGACAACAGGGTAAAGCAAATGATGCTTTTTAAAATTGCCTGCTGATGGCACAAGTGTCCCCCCTGTCTCTCTCTGTCTCTGTCTCTCTGTCTCTCTCTCTCTCCCGTTCCCTCCCTATCCTCCACTCCCTTCTCCTCTGTCTCTCTCTTCCTCCCTTCCTCTTTAGTCCCCTTCTCTCTGTCTCTCTCTGTCTCTGTCTGTCTCTCTCTCTGTCTCTGTCTCTCTCTCCCTATCCTCCACTCCCTTCTCCTCTGTCTCTCTCTTCCTCCCTTCCTCTTTAGCCCCCTTCTCTCTGTGTAAAAGTAGTGGTTCTTCCTCACGAAGCTACTGAGGAGAAGACAATCTCAAGCTCGCTAACAGCAGACAGGACTGATGTGTCTGCTGCTCTCCTGTGGGAGCCCCGCAGGAAGGGACCCACACTGACTGCTCACACAAGCACATGAACTCAGGGAGCCTGGGATAAAATCGTGCTTGACGATTCTGCTTCAGCCGGCCTTCAGCCATGGGATCAAGACTCCCAGGGGATGCTGAGATCCCAATCTGAGGACAACCCGAGTCCTCTCTCCCTGCAATCTGATTTGCGCTCCTCCCTGCTGCAGACAGCAGCCATGTACCCGATGCATGAGGCACAGGAGACTGAAGGAAACTGACTCTTGCTGGGGCTTCTAGGTGACTTGACTTTGTGACCAGCTTGGGTGATGAAGACTGACAGTGTCCCCTTTGTTAAGTATCTGCTCCTGGGCAGGAGGGCCCTACTCTCCATAACCAAGGGTCAGGGGCTTCAGAATCTTAGTGAGGGAAGGGTGCTGTTAGCCCTGCAGGCTCCTGAGTTCACTCCAGGCCTTGTGGGAGGTGGTGGGAGGAGGGGTCTGAGTGCAGACAGGGAGGACACCACCGCTGCTCTTCTCCTCCTCCAGCTCTGTCTGAGGAGGTTTCACTGCGTCCATTCGTCATGAGGTGAGGCGACCCTTCCTGAGGCCCTCTGCACCCTCATGCCTCCTTCCCAGCTCTGCTTCCTTCCTCTCGTCCTCCTGTGAGGATCCCCATTCGTTCCGAGTCTGGCTCATAGAGAAGATGCTGTGAGAAGACCCATTGCAACTAAAGACTGAAGTCCTATGCGTGAAGTCAGTCACCCACCATTGTGAGACGCGGGAATCCTTGCAGGCAGCACCTCCAGCGAAGCCTCAGGAAGAGTGAGCTCCGGCTCCTATTTATACAGGTGAGAATGGCCACACAAGGATTTCTTGGAAAGACTCTGTTCCAGGAACACAGTGTTTACAGAGGGCAGAGCAGGAAGTTACGATTTCTATTGATTTGAGTTTTTCATCTATTAAGCCTCTACCCAAATGTGTTCACCACTCCCTCACCCCTGACAACTGCTGCCCTTGGTTTTAGAGCAGAGACGGAAAGAACTGTCCTTGGGAGCCTTTATCTTACGATGGCAGACTTCTAGACACCGTCCATGATCTTTCCTAGCTCACAGACAACGAAATGAGGGCTCAGGAATACGACCCACAACAGCCAAGTGCCAGGCTGTGTTTGGGAAGACATAAGGTTAGGCCAGCATGTCAGCCTGGCTGACCAGGGAGCTGAGGCTCGGGAGGGGGTGGCCTCGGGGTTCCATGTGGGAAAGCACAAACGCATGGCACGTCTTCCATGGGCAGCACCAGGTTTCTTGTGACAAGCCGCATGCTTAAATCTCTCTAACTACCCAACATTCTCCTGAATGTTTAGTCGTTGTCTGCTTCCTCAAGGGAGCCTTCTTCTCTTTGTTCAGTAGTGACCTCCTGAATGGGAAGCTGTGTGTAGTTCCCGTGAACAATGACAACTTGAAGTAACTTGTTGTCCAGCAGTCGCACTGTGAGAGCAGTCTTCATCCCAACTTGATTGTCACACTGGTCAGAGTTGTCACGAGATGAAGAGATCTATGTCCAGAGCTAAGTAAATATGAAGTCAGAACGGGGTGAACCTGGAGCTGGGGTATAGCTCAGTGTGCAGAGTGTTTGTCTAGCATGTGTGAAGCCTTCTGTTTGATCTGCAGCACTGCATACAACCAGACGTGGGATAAGGCTGAGTAGGTATCTCTGCCATGAGAACCTAATTTGAAAATGCTTTTCATAGTGAGACAGGCTTGGACGTCCAGCCCCAGTGATGCTGAAACAGAGACAGGCTTGGGCATCCAGCACTAGAGATGCTCCCACAGGTGGGTTCCAGCACGCCTAGTCAAGTCCTGGTGAGTCCAGGATGACTAGCGACAGGCCCTGTGTCAAAAATGAATGTGGACGGAGGCTGAGGAACGGCTGAGGTTGCTCTGCCTTCCTCTTGTGTAGCTGTTTCCCCCAGATTGACACATTGCCCTAAGGAAGGAGATGGGAGATTCATGAGGCTCAGGAAGTAAATGAACTTCAGCCTGTCCAGGAAGGTGAAACCGTGCATGACACGTGCGTGACAAGACTCACCAGGGCCCCTCCTCAAGCTTGCACAAGTAGGAGACAACTGTTGGTTGGGACTGTTGCACATCACCTGTTGATCTGCCTGTAAGCTAGGCAGCAGGCTTGCAGCTGGAGTTGCATCGCTGCTTGTGTAGGCTGTCTGCTAATACAGCTGCCTTTGCGTCATCCCTGCTCCTGTGTGTAACCCCTCGCCCATGCTCACATTGCTACCTCACTAAACTCTAGGATTCACCGTGGTTGCCTTTGTGAGGTTGATAATTTGGTTTGTCCTTGACTCCCTGTGTTGTGTGTTCATGTCAGCCCAGGAGGAGTGTCACACAGCATCTCAACATGCATGCACATCACAACACACACACACACACACACACACACACACACACACACACACACACACACACACACACACACACTGCAGTGGGGTTTTGAGAAGAGAATAATTGAGAGCGGTGGCTTTCCATAGGTGGTTGACCTCAATACAAGAACAGAGCTGTCCCTTGGTGTCCTTGGGGAAACTGGCTCCATGCTCCCTGTGGAAACCAAAAATCCATGGGTTTTCAAGTCATTTATATACAGTGGCATAGTATTTGCAGTTTGTTTTCTTTTGCTGGGATAAATGCTATAAAACGAAAAGCAACTTGGAAGGAAAGGGTTTGCTTGTCCTACAATTTCAGGTCACAGTCCATCATTGAGAGGAATCAGGGCAAGAACTCAGAGGCAGGGACTGGCAGTGGAGATTGCTGGCTACTGGCTTGCTCCATAGGGTTTGTTTAGCTAGCCAGTTAGCCTCCCTCCCTCCCTCCCTCCCTCCCTCCCTCCCTCCCTCCCTCCCTCCCTCCCTCCCTCCCTCTGTCCTCTTTCTTCTCTCCCACCTTTTCCCATTTATTTATTTATTTTTGAGACAGGGCCTCACTATGTAGCCTTGGCTGTTGCAGAGCTTACTCTGTATTTCAGGCTGGGTTCAGTTCCTAGCACCCACATGGTGGCTCACAACCATTCAAAACTCCAGTTCCAGGGATCTGATACCCTCTTCTGATCTCCTCATTCACAGACATAAAAATAAATAAATAAATCTAAAAACCTTATTTAAAGGGTTCTATTCCTGTTTCTGTATGTTGGCATTTGTTCTAACATATAGCATGAGCTCCAATATTCCAATCACATGTTAGTGACTATACTGGGACAGCATGGGGGACTCCGTTCAGTCACTGTATTATCAGGTAGCGAGAGGCGCAGAGTTCTAGATGGGAAACTCCAGCAAGCAGGCCGTGGTTTCACCATAGAGATCCCTTTCCCAGCTTTCAGCACTCCCTATAATCTGCACCTAAGAACTGAATGGGCTTTGTTCTCATTTTAAAGATAATCTGTTCTCTGACTTAACAGCACTTAGTGTTCTGTTCAGGGTTTCATTTGTTTGATTTGTCCCCACTTCCTGGTTCATGGGCCCTATGTCTGTGGTTTAAAGGTGTCTTTCTGTTTGGTTCTGCTTGTCTGCGTCAAAGTTCTGTCTGTGGAATGCATGACGAAACTCCATTCCTATCCAAAGGTCTTTGGGCCATGTCCTAACAAATTGTCTGGCTATGGTTACGACCCTATGAAGAAGAAAAGAAAAACGGGCATTCTTTTTTTTTTTGTTTGTTTTTTGTTTTTTGTTTTTTCGAGACAGGGTTTCTCTGTGGCTTTGGAGGTTGTCCTGGAACTCGCTCTGTAGACCAGGCTGGCCTCGAACTCACAGAGATCCGCCTGCCTCTGCCTCCCGAGTGCTGGGATTAAAGGCATGTGCCACCAACGCCCAGCTGAAAAACGGGCATTCTTTTGTGTTGTTTTTGTTTGTGACAGGCTTTCTCTGGGTAGCCGAGCTGTCCTGGAACTAGTTCTGTAGACCAGGCTGACTTCAAACTCATAGAAAGCCATCTGCCTCTGCCTCTAGAGTGCTGGGGTTAAAGGCCAGCGCCACCACCACCCTGCTTGAAACGGGTTCATTCTTGTAATAGTTTGGCTACTCTTAGTTTTGAGTTGCATTATTCACAACTGGAGTTGTTCTGCAAATCACTAGGGAAACAGGGAAAGATTTCCCTGAAGTTTGTGTCATAAGCGTTGTCTTCTGGTCTGGTGCTCCCATTAAACAAGATCCAGGAGATGCAGAGCTTCTTTGCTTCCACAGAGACTGCACTCTGAATGGATTTAAATACAAAACAGAAAGGCACCGATGGACTAAACCATGTAGAGAGACTTCTGCAGGATTTCTGTATGAAACATACACTCGTTTTATCAGTGCTGAGCTAGACTATTTCCGGCTTTAGAAAGAAGCTGGCACTTAAGCTGCCAATGTGTTTTTTTTTCCCCTTGCCCAAAGCAGAGTTTTCTCTGTGTAGACTTGGATGTCTTGGTACTCGCTCTGTAGACCAGGCTGGCCTCAAACTCACAGATATTGCCTACATCTGCCTGCCGCGTGGGGGGATTAAGACATGTGCCACCACTGTCCCACAATACATTCGTTTATACTAAAGTCTAGATGTGTTAATATGAGATTTGGTATGCATGCATTTATAAACTTATCCAGATGAAATCAGCATTGCTCACAGTGTGGCAGGGCAGGCAGGCAGGGGCTCCTCAATCTTCTGTTCGTGCCCAGGCCATTTCAGGTTTAACTAGAATTTGATTTCCTCAATGGAGAATCCCGTGGAAAATTACCCAGTTCTCTTCTAGGAACCGAAAATCAGGATGTCCTAGCTAACTCATCTTGGCTTTTCTTAAACTACTTGTTTGTGCAGAACCTTGCCCAGCTAACCATTCTTGGCTGCTTGTTTGTGCAGAAACTCCCTCCTGCTGGCTAACTGCTCCCCTTAGCTTCTGTTAAAACTGCTTGCTTCAAACCGCTCACCCTGTGAAGCCCCTCTGCATCTGCACAGTGAGATGCATCAGCAAGGTCTCTGCCCTTAAAAACCCCCATTATCTGGATACTCGGGGCCACATCTAGATTCCCCCCACAACACTTAGGTGTTGTCCCAGCCTGCTGGAATATAGACTTTCAATTGACTATACAATGTGTCTGAGTGGCCGTCTCTGTTGTTCTCCCCTTAACAACACTTAAGTAAGATGACACAGATTATTCAAACTGACTCAAGAAGTGGAAAATATAAGTAGTCCTACATAATGAAAGGCTCTCACTGAGCCGGAGCTCACTGACTGGCTACACTGGCTGGCCAGCCGGTCCTCAGGATCTTCCTGGGCCGACCCTTGTGTGCGCAGCATAACTTTCAGTTTTGGGATAACAGGACACACTTCTGTTTTTGTGTGTCCTGGAGATCCATACTCAGGTTCTCATGCTGAGATAAAAGGGAAAAAGGCCTTATAAACAAATCGACAAGAATTGATTGTACATATTAATGGAGTTCAGTGGCTCATTTCCGTACATGAACACAACGTACATAATCAGATGCAGTAACCCCCTTTCCATCCCCCTCCCCATCCCATTTCCAGTATTCATTTTTCTATTGTCTCGACAATGTTTTTTAGTTTCCGTATATGAGAGGGAAAAGTGTAGCTCTTCTCTTTCTGTGTTTCTTTCATTTGACTTAATATAGGATGACCAGTTCCATCCATTTGGCAGCCAATAACAGGTCCATTCTCCTTCATAACCAAACACAGTAATGTGTTTCTAAAAGGCTGGGTGCTTGTTTGGACACTGCTATGGAACAGTAGATACAGACCACAAAGCCAAAAACATTCTCTACATAATCCCGTGTCCAGAGCCTAAAGGACAAAGATAATTAACTGGG